GTAGGAGGTGGTGTGCTCAATAGACTTGCTGAATACCAAAATAGACTTAAATATAATAAAATAAAAAGAAATTATAATAAACATACATAAACATACATAAATAGATATATAATATATATGAATAACATAAATAAATACACGAGAGAAGAATTAAATCCGAATATTGCCATTAAAAACTATGGATTACAAAGCGATAGATAATGTTGTTTTACGCATTTTGAAACTTGTCTAGCGTCTTCGAACGACGAATTTGCTGAGGAAGTTCATTCCACTAGCAGATGGCCATAACTGTAAAGGAGTTCTTATAATATTTAGTTTTGTACGCATGTGGTGCAAGAATTAGATCTTCAGCGGATCGCAGAACTCGTTCTGGATGGTTATGGCCAAGAAACTTAGTGTTCCTTTAAATAACTTGGAGTCCTAGGGTTAAATAATACACAGTACAGAAGAGAGACAGTGTGTAGATTCCGACGAAAACGAATGGAACCACTTTAGCGTTGAACGAAATTCGGAAACGGGATCATATTTGCGTAAATATGAATCTAATAGCTAAATTTTGAATACACTCAAGTTTATTTAGCTATAATGTGTTCTGTGGGTCCATATAATGTAAATTAGAAACGATAAATTTTTTTAGCCTTAATTGAAATAAACATCACATCTAATATGCAGTTTAAGAAATGCGGATAATTTTATTTTTGGTAACGTAAATACATTTTACAGTTTAGCTTCTGAGGCCAACCTTATCTCCATATTTAGGCTTATTTTTCCATTTCGCTTCGTAATTTTCAATAAAGAACGCTATTTGAAATAACCTTTAAATTCCAATTATTATTAAACCACCTCGATAAAGCCGAAGCTTTACGAGAGCGGTTCAATCGAGTGCGAGATTGAGTTTACCCACTCCCCTCAACTACGGTGTTCCATTAGGCGCGCTTTGTTCGCCGATCGTAGGACGCTTTTGGAAAATTGGAATTATATAATACGAAGCTATTACGAGCTTCGTCGTTTATTTAAAAGTGAACGGATTAAATTTAGCTATAAGCCTCTCGCTCAGATCTATTGTAAAGTGAAGTTCCGTTTAAAGCCGTAGCTCAGGTCATTGCTCTGGCGCTCGCTTTCAATTCAATATACTAAACAAACATAAACCAATGAAATTGTTAATTTTGAGTGCTGACTTATCACGTGCTTAGCGGTGAAGAAAAACACCGTGAGGTAACTTGCATATTTTCGAAATAATAAAAAAAAAAATTGTGAAAATATGTTAAGTCCGCCAATCTGCAGTGGGATCGCGTGTTGGTCTATGTCCTAATACTCTTTGTAAAGATATGTAGGCTGTACCCACATCGGGATTGAGGGCAATTGAAGACATGAGTGGATGAAGGGGATATAATACAATTTGTAAATATTGAGAAACCGGGCATCAAAGTTTTGTTTCTTGTTCTTGAGATTAATCGTTTTTCTTTTTTATTATTTACAAACTATTTATATCAAATTATAGTAATTATTGACATCTACTAATATGGAGTGGAAAAATAAGATTAAAGTGTAAGAATATGTATTTATTGAAAAAAAATTGTACATAACTCCTTCATTCATTTCTTGATAATAAAGAAGTTTCATACTTAATTTACGGATGAATGAATTAACTACGTAATTAACGTAATAAAATCAAAAAAAAAATTACATGTGTGTCGGGTTAATCTGGACCTACAAAGTGTTCATAATTCCGGTTTCAAAAAATTTATCTGTTCTTTAATATTAGCTTTCTTTTCTTCAGAAATTGTACCATATTTTCTTTGTACCCGTTCAACTAAAAAGTCTTCTACTTGTCCTCTTTTTTTTAATATAAATCCACTTTTCTAAAAGGCATGTTTTCATCATAACTTTCTTTGTATAAGCACCGAATTCTTCTACCCTTATCCACTGAATACCGTCCCTGAAATTAACCCTTTGCTTGTTTTCGTCTTTTTTTTCTGTTAATTAAATTGAGTTGATTTTGCAACTAGTTAATTTTACGATAATGATCAGTCATATCGATAATAACATTGTTTCTAGATACTTTGCATATAATCTCTCGATATTGCTCAGGCGTATATATTGCCTCATGCTTGCGCATGATCTTTTCGATGCGACCAAAATCTCTATCAGAGTCCAGATAAGAATGACCTACATCAGGAAATTTGTGTTCAATGATTTTAAAATAACCCCTCATGATCATGTCTTGGTAGATAATTTTTTTATTCTGTTCAGCACAGGTCCGACCATATAAATATTTTTTTTTGCGACAAGATGGATCCACTTCAACAAATCTTAGTAGGGAGCTAGCATCTTCAACAATACTTCTGTTGGCTACATCTTCTGTCCACAGCTTTTTGTTTGGTCTGGTCACTAACATGGATGCCCAGATTATAGTAAAATTCCGTATAATATTAACAAAAAAACCGGCTTCAAACCGGAAACTAAAAAACATTATTGATACTAATAACATTTGAGGATTGCCCTTGATTTCTCTAAGATTCCATCATCAGATCTGGGTTACCTTATCATGGTACCACTCTTGGGATATCTCCTTTCCAACAAAAAAAGAATCATCAAAATCCATTTATAAACGACGAAGTTATCCGCGAATACACATAAAAAATATATGTACGGTCGAATTGAGAAACCTCCTCCTTTTTGAAGTCGGTTAATAAAACCAAATCTGCCGTAAATAGAATGCCTTAGAAGTCGGTATTTTAGGAAGTGGCATGGTGTGTTGTAAGTCTACTGTGAGGTATAATAATCCATTGTCTTTTTTGGGTCAATCTCTTGTAATGGCTTAAATCGCAGCGTGGTACTTTAAATGAAAAGCATGTATCAGCTTTTCATTTGAATTTCTAGCATCATAAGTTGCACATGAGCTATCCAAAAGAGAGATTAAATTCAGTAACGAAAACTTTTTTTATCAGCCGTTTAGCTCAGTGGCTAGAGCGTTAGGCCGCGAATGCCGAAGACGTGGGTTCGATTCCCACAGCGGCGACAATCTTTTCTTACTTTTTCTACATGTTTTAAAATTCTCAAACATCGTTTAATAAAGTTCGTGCATTTTAGTGACTTTTAAAAGTGGTGACAAATAAGTTTTGTATATATTTTTGCTACGTGCAATAAGTTTTGACTGATCCGCCGGAAAGGTTGACATACGCAGTTTTTTGCGTACCTCTTCATCCGTTTTATGGGGACGATTATTGTGTCTGCCTCATCTATCTGGAAGTGGAACAGAAGCGCCACTGTTGATTTTGTATCCGTTATAATCCTATAATATCCACCTTCTTCCGCGATATTTGGTACAGACCACACAATCCCAATTAGCAAACCTCTGTTGTTATGCTTTTGTTTTTTATAAAATATTTGTATGTCGCAGACTTATTTTTTTGAACATAATAAGAAACATGATACGAAATGGAAGAAAGAGACAAGTACATCACATAACACCTTCATCCAGAACAACGCAAAGCCCGCGCGTGTTTTGTGGCACTTACCTCATTCATCCGTGCAAGAAAGTGATATACTTATATAATTTTAAATTAAAAAATATGCTAAGTGCCCATGCCACTTTCTTTCATTGTGAATATTATTTTATGTTGGTACATAACCCCTTCATCACTTGCTATCTCTAAAACTAAGCTCAAACAGCGGTGTTTTAAGGTTTAATATAGTTTTTAAGCACATAATACCTTCATTCGATGCAAAAAACAGATTTTTTAAAAAATGTTACATAACCCCTTCATCCACTCATGTCTTCAATTATTTTAAGGCCAGCCAAACATCGAAGTCTATCTTAGATTTATGCGTATCCTCTAATAGGGTAGGGAGAAATGATAAGCCACCCACTGAACGCTTTCATTTTTACACCATCCTCTACGTGTCCAAAACGTGACATGTAAAATTTTCCGCCGTATGCAAGTCAAAGTTATTATAGTCAGAGTTAGCCTCCACAGTCGAAAACCAGAACTCATTGAGATTCAGAATTTTCTTTTATTTTTTTTTCACGTACACTACACCATCTCATAATTCCACTTTGTCCAGTATTTTGATTATCACTTTTACTCATCGTTGAATCTCTCAAAGACTCGCATCTTTATTTCTTGTTCTTCTTCATATTCGCTTTATTAGGAATGTCAGTAGTCGTTGAATCATTTTCCTATTTGAACCTTTTGCTTATCGCTGTCAAGCGGACCGCTCCTTAGGGCGCGCTCCCCAGTCGTATACGTTCTCACGCGATGCGGACTTGGAGGATCTCTATTCACTGTGCGTTGGGACTAAGGTTGTGCAATCGATTTCTCGCAACGACATTGAATTGAACTTTGCCAAGCGATTTGAGCCAAGCGATCCTGTTTAGGATTCTGTTGAAAGTTGTTAATGGAATATTTAGCCTTGATAACAGTTTGTATTTAAGGCGAGATGGTCTTTACGTATAAAAGGACGGATTTTGTGTTGTTTGTTTTATTGATAATTTACTGTCCTTTTAACACGAAACATCTCGAATCGTAGTGTTTTCTTACATATTTTTAAAATTTTACTTAAACGCGCTATGTCAAATTTACTTATTGACTAACTAAGTTTAAACTTCAAAATGATTATTGTTCATGCCCTAAAAAGTCACACAGCAAGGAAAAAAATATATTTAAGAAACAAGATTTGCTACTAATCGGTGAGGAGAGAAATAAAAATAATGAATAGTATTTAAAAAAAAACAATTATTTTATTAATACATGTATCGGGTGACCAATATTAGAGAGCCACCAAGATTTCGCTGAAGAGCCTGACTATTAACGGCTGTTTTCAATATTTTATTTATCTGTACATTTGGTTAATGGAGATAGAATTTTGACGTAAGTGCTAATATCAAATACCTATCGCTAGAAACCAAATCTACAGATAGAATATTGAATCCGGCAGTAAGAGCGCCGTGTATCGAATAATTGCTGTTAACATCGATGAGGAGTTTGAGCTCTTCAATGGCGGTACCACTCCTGGCACACCCGCATCCGCTTCACCTTCTTCTGCAGCTGCAGCATCGCGTACAGCAGCGCCTCTGCGGTGGGCGGGCAGCCGGGCACGTATATGTCCACCTGGTGGGGTTCCATTCAGTACAGGGGCGAATGGTGTGGGGATCGCGAAAGCTTGGTGTAATGAAAAAAAAAAATTTTCACAGTAAAAGAGTAACACAGTTTATTGTATCTCAAAAGGAATAGTGAATAATCTATTCGTAAGTGCACAGTGACAGAAATGTGTATGGGGCAATTGCTGTCTTCTGTCCTCCCTTTCTTTATCCCACCTAGGTGCGGTCGCTCCAACATGAGAACCGTGTGTGAACGGTGTCGACTGGTTTTTGGACCTCCAACGCCGAACTCAACATGCCGAGAAGGAGGGCTGACACCATCACCATTAGAGGTTTATGGAAAGATGAATAGACATAGTCCACGGTGGTAGGGCCACGCAGCAGTCCCGGCTGATGAATGAATAGGCAGGCTCTTCCGGGTAAGTACCACGACCTCACAGAAGACCGGCGTAAAGTAGAAGTATAATACTTTCGCGTTTCGTCTTGTGAGTGAGGTGGCCGGAGCCAAATTTTCAATAGGTTGTCAACGCAGCAGATGTCCATGGACGGCGGTATTCACTTAACATCAGGTAAACTGTCTGCTCGTTTGGCAACTTTTCACGTAAAAAAAAAACAATGTTGGACATACGGGCACAATCCGGTCGCACCCTCGCACCGTGGAGTACGTGTAGTGGTAGTAGCCGCCGCCGTTGGCGCAGCTGCCCATCGAGACCACCCACTTGGGCTCCGGCATCAGGTCGTAGGTCTTGCGGAACACGGGCGCCATCTTGTTGGTCACCGTGCCGGCCACTATGATCACGTCGGTCTGGCGCGGGGTACCGCGGAACACCATCCCGAAGCGGTCCATGTCGTATCTGTATTGTAATTGATAATAACAATAATATCAATCGTACGCGAAACCGGCCTGAAAAGTTGATAAATTATGAATGAACAAAACATTTTAATTATTAGACCCTTGTTTTTTATTCTTTACAATTTATTATATACGGTATTTTCTTTCGTGTATTATAGCATTCGACCGCATAATTTCGACTAGATTGGTGGTATATCGGAGACAAATAAAATTAATAACATTTCATAGTAGGCGATCATATTCTCCTAAACAAAGTCAGTCAAATAACAATTATCCTGATAATTCTTATCATTGTCATTCAAATTATTAAAAGATAATTCAAATCATTGTCGTCTGACTGCAGACCTCTTCCAGCCAAAACGTCAAACCCCAGGCTAACAGCACACTAGCACACAGATCTGTTGTACATGAGGTTATATTTGTTTTTTGTACCTCGGCGCGGCGTAATGCATCATCTCCAAGGCGCAGCACGCTAACCCGAAGGTGAGAGGCCACAGGGAGCGGCTTCGTCCCCAGTTCAAGACGTCGTCCAGCCGGGCCATCACCCATTCCGCTTTCGGCTGAAATTTCGTAGGAATCAACATCGTTGTGATCGTATCGCCATGGTTTCCAAATATTTGATAGGACCGCAGCAACTGTTTCTACTATCTGCGTCCGGGGAAGTAAAGCGGTCTCACGGAAGACCGGCGTTAGGTAGAAGTGTCGTTTACATTGACTTTAGCGTTTCGCATGGTGAGTGAGATAGCTGGTCCACCTTTATAAAGGTTAGCAACTCATCTACATTCCCTCGTGTTGTAGTGTTGTAAATGTCCATGGGAGGCGGTAATCACTGAACATCAGAATAATCACCTGCCCGTTTGCCAATTTTTCACGTAAAAAATGCGTCTAATTTTCACGGTTCAAAGTGTATATATTCGGACATTAAAACATCATCTTTATAGATAGATGGACGTGCCACTATAGGATTTTAGAGGATACGTTAGTATAAAATGTGATGTAACGGCAAAGTTACTTTATTCAACAAAACCGGCATTGTATACACGCGGGCTTAGTCTAGCTAGGTTAACTGAAACAGTTAACAGCATTACCAAGGTTTGATCATTTTGCGGGATCTCCATTGTCCCTAGAGCTTAAGTAGTTTCGTGCCCGCAATAATATCGAATTAATTTATCCCTAACCCAACACCCTAAGACAGGGTCCCTTTTGATGTAATCGAATTCTGAACCAGTCTTACGCAGTGGGAAACAAAGAAAAGGATCTTCCCGTTGAAGTACTAAGATAAGGCTTAGTTTGCTGTAAGCGTAGATATTGTGACTTTCAGAATCAAATTTTTCGGGTTTCTTTTTAGCATTGTTAGTAATAATAATATTTTTGAAGCTCATTGAAGACAGAAATTTACCACGCTGTGAGGAGTAGGTGAGAAAATTGTCTGGGGTTTTTAATGTTTAATATAAGTAGTCACTATATCTACACTCGTATCTTCTATATATTAATACACTAGCGACCCGCCTCGGCTTCACACGGGTCTAATGTATTATACATATGAACCTTCCTCTTGAATCACTATCTAGTAAAAAAACGGCATCAAGATCCGTTGCGTAGTTTTAAAGATATAAGCATACATAGGGACAAACAGGCAGCGGGGAGACTTTGTTTTATACAATGTAGTGATTAAGCAAAAATTTTTACCCTTTTGAATGAAAACCCCCAACTATGAAATTTCCCACACTTATAGTTTATATAGAGAATGGGTGCAGAATACTAATATACTTTTTTAAATTATGTATAAAAAATACATTAAATCAATAAAAAAGACATTACGCACACTACCATGTATAATTAATTATGGTCGAATTGCGACCACTGGGCGACCACTAGTATTAGTAAGCTTAACTTTCAGAATCAGAAAGTCAATGGTCGTAAAGCGCGCTTAAGAAGCGATTGGAAAAGTTTTTGTGAGAACTCACTTATACCCTCATAAACTTGGACAAATAAACACCGACATTGTATTTTTTTTGTATAAATTCGTAGCTTATATTCTCGGGAGGGATTTTCCTGAACAAATTACACGTCGTAACATAATTTGTTTTTACTTAGGAATAAATCCAGTCGACTTACAGTTCCCTAAGTTACGAACTCGTCAATACAGCCTTGGATGTTATTACGTAACTTCGTCAGAGATTACTATTGTTTCAATGTAATTTTACTTTGCACAATTCTTATATTTAGATTATTAGATTCATACATCAATGCCTTCTACACAACACATAGAAGTTAAATAGAAGAAAAGCAGGGTAACCGGGCCCCACGTGTTCAATGGAAGTGCAAATATTTAAGTACTTTACCTTCTCACTCACACATAAAATATTATATTAAATAACTAAATTAAGTAAGAAATTAACTATAAATATTTTTGCTTACGGTCGTGTCGATTCCAGTTCCTGATGGTTTTCCCTCATACCTTATTCCTATCGGGTTCTAGTATTGTATCTAACTTGCCTATCTAATTACTACACTGAACCAACGCTAATCGACCGCAGCTCGCCAAGTAACTAGATTCAGTCTCGTCTTGGCATACATACATGAACAACTAATTGAGGCAAAGCAGAAACCCATCCAGTGCAGGCCGTTTAGTACTTTCATTACCTGATTAACATTGATAGCCAAGTTCTCTGATTATTAATAGAATTTTACCATATGATGAGCACAAGGTCGTCTTCATTCTATCATTATGCTGTTGAGCGGTTGACTGTCCAAATCTGAATATTAACTTGCTTATAGTTTAGGCTAGCATCACATGTCGAGAGTACATATTATTTGTCACATTCACTTAAATATTTCATATAATATTGTAAAACTGAACAGTTTTTAAATGCTGCGCAGTACGGATCATCTTTATCAAAATGTTATTGTTCGTCATTGAAGTCAAAATTAGCATAAGTTTAACATTGTCGTTATAAATTCAAAAGACTGAAATGACAATACTGGCAATTAATATCCTCTATAACTTTTATTATTTTTACGAATTAAACTTTTAAAATGCCAACTCATTAAAAAGCGTCCACATAAAATGTTGCTATAAAACTTGTGAACACTAAGAGGGCAACACCAGACGCAAATTATATGAAAACACGGCCATAACTTTTTTAAATATTTCGAATTTGCTACATTTTTTTATCTGTGAAAATACTTTCGGAGCACAGAGCGGGCCGTTCGTGAATTGCGACGCACTTGAGCCCGCGCTTTGTCGATTTATCTTCTTTTATCCGTTGAATAAACAGCGACGTTTGCGTTCGAAATAACAGAAAGCGTCGCGGAAATATAATGCAATTTCGTATACTCTGAAAAACTTGTACTAGGCTTTTGCTTGTGCGTTCACATTCTGTAGAGACTGAACCAGTTGTCTAGAATCGGAAGTAGCTTGAATCAATTTATTTATTACTCGAAGACTGATAGGCAGTACAATGGATTTCAACTAACAAAATTTATTTTCAATATCTCAATGTGAAGTTACAAAACTAACACGACAATCTCATGACAGCGAGCTTAAAAATGTCTTTTTGTAAATAAACTTTAATATTCACGTATATAATACGATAACTTTATTTACATACCAAATAGAGTAATAATATTATATGGACTCTCGGTACATTGCGAGATATGTGTAAACATTTATTGAATACAGTGTGCTTTATAACAATATCTCATTGACAGTCATGTTCACCTTTATACAACTCCTTCAATGCTTCAATCATAAAATATACTTTCAAAACATTCAAGGTCTGTTGGGGTCAGAGTTCTCATTTTTTTTATTTTTAAAAATTGTTAAAAATAATAATTTTACTCGATTAAGGCTTGTTCCAAGTAAGGCTGTTGTAGAGCCACAGAACTGCTTCTGCAATTGCATGAATGGGCAGGCTCGTTTCGGGAAGTACCATGACCTCACAGAAGAACAGCGTGAAGTGAAAGTACTATTATGCTTTCGCGTTTCGTACGGTGAGGGAGTTAACCGGGGCCTATTGCTTTTTAGTTTGTGAACGCATGTGCAAAGTCTCAGGTGTTGTAGATGTCCATAGCCGGTGGTAATCACATAAAATCAGGCGATGCGCCCGCTCGCTTAACAACTTTTCGCATAAAAAAAGTTAAAAACTACTACCTACCCTTACGGAGGTTTGGAATTGAAAAAGGAAACTATGCTCTCCCTAATTTTTTCCCAGTTACCTCAAATAATACTACAAGCGTACCACTGCATAACGGACCCATGAGCACATACGCGGCCCCACTAACCGAAGTGGGAGGGCAAACTCATGGTCTATTCCACGAGTTTTTCTCTGAAACTTTAACAGTCTACGGTCTGAAAGCAAAACTAACAGTAAAAGTAAGTAGTACAAACGCTCTGTTTACCTGACCAGTGAAATGAAAGGGCGAATACGGTCTCTTCTCCCCGACTTTGAACGCTCGGTTCCCGTGGATTCGAACTGGTGGACCCTTCTTAGCGTCGGTACTCTTGCTTCTTAATCTCGTGATACGCTGCCCAAGGGTATGGACGTGTACTAAGCTGTCATCTCGCCTATTCGTCACGTTTCCGTTGTAGTTGGTCGAAACAGGAAGGCATTTCAGCGTGCGGATATTACTTTGTGTACTGTCGGAAAAAACAATCGCTGGTTAGTCATAACGGATGCAATCGATCAAAGAGAATTCTTCGCTTCGTTTTAGTGACTTTTTTTGTCCTACTGGTCGAGCGTAAACAATTGAAGCTACACTCCTCAGGAACGCCCTCCGCGGTAAGATTTAAACGGATCTAAATAAACTTTTATGAAATTGACCCGAGAACTTCATTGGGCGTATTTTAGGTTTTTATTATTGTTATAAGTATTTATGTATTGAATTATAAAATTTTATATACCTATTAATATACATGTTATATTATAACAAATAACAAAAATATATATATATAATATATATCACAAAAAAAAATAATTCTGTTTTTAAGTATTAGTTGTTATAGCAGCAACAGAAATACATCATCTGTAAAAAATTACAACTATGTAACTATCACGGTTCATGAGATACAGCCTTGTGACAGACGGACGGACAGACAGACAGACAGACAAACAGATAGTGAAGTCTTAGTCAAGAAGACAGTCATGTCCATACTGCGCGGCGTATAAAAATTGCTCCGCTTTACATTATATCTAATATATAAAATTCTCGTGTCACGGGGTTCGAACTTGAACTCCTCCGAAATGGCTCGACCGATTTTTACCAAATTTTATATGCGTATTCAGTAGGTCTGAGAATCGGCTACTATCTATTTTTCGTCCCCCTAAATGTTAACGGGGTAGTCCACCCCGAAATTTTTTTTTTTTTAATATAAAACTTTGTTTCTATTTTTTTATGATTTTAAAATTTTCACCCCTCTACGCAGACGTAGTCGCGGGCAGCAGCTAGTTGACATATATTATTGAATGTGACAGAAAATGTAGAAACGTACGATACGGAAAGATATAGCATTCTATAGAATTGTAATATAATTACACCAGTCGGTGTAATAAGCGCCTCGGTTTCGGTGCGTTTGGTATCATATCTACCTCGTATTTGTATATATAATATCATTGTACTATTTATTAAAAAATGCCGATTAAACAAACCGTTTACATGTCCTTGTCATCAACATTTGATTACCTGTAAAAGGTCGTCCTTAATGCGTTCTCAAATATTCCCATCATCGTTGAAAATTCTTTCTCCTAACCTTTACAAATGAGAAATAATTTGTTAATACTATTAAATGTAATTAATTGCGGCGTAAAATTTACGTGCCTATCTTGTGTACGTGACAATATCTCTCAACTGTGACGTTCGGACTTACGTTCCGAATTCGAAAGAGTCTTTATATTTGAATTATTAAAAAGTGAAGTTCATTTTTTTTTATTTCAAATTATAACGTTTTACATTGCTTTTCTGTATTTAAATACCACAAACATGATTCTATTTCTTCATATTTTACACTATATCTTACACTGAATGTATGAACCATGAAATACCAATATACATGAACATAGCTAACATATAATGTACATTTAGTAAACGTTGTTTTTTTTAGACCTACAGTTTAAAAATAATACGAACAGTATCTCTATTCAATTGTCTGTTAACAATCTGGTTAAAAATTGCAATAAAATTAATCAAGTTGTAATAGTCTGACATTACGTTAAATTTTCGTTAAATATTCAAGACTCGTTTTCTCTATGTATATAATGATGTTTTTCTTTATTTTTGTAAGTCAAAAATTTTTGTACCAAATTTCGACTCTAGCCGACTCTAGCCTACTTAGCTTGCTGTTAAATCCGCTACCGGCCAAAGGTAAGTCCCACCATAGACGCTTGCATCTTCGCCTACACCCGTATAAAAAATTAAACCTGCCGCGTGCAATTAACAACGGTTAAAGCTCACTACGGGTTTTCGTACGTACTGCCGACCCAGTTTTCCGTGTCGAGGACCCTCAATGCTTCATGGTCTGGATGTTTTTTTGTACGCTTTATTCACGGTGCATTCAAAGTTACAATTCATGTCGACTTTTCATTGTTCGAATCTCAACGTATAGAGTTTTCATACATCTACACTATTACTCAATATAATAGTTGGAAAATCAAATATGTATGTACATTATAGAACTAAATAAACATTTTAAAAATGAACACACAATATCTTTTGGCACGTCTAAACATTTGCGCGCATTTTTTTACGCGACGTGAGTGTGACTCCATTATGCATATTTTTACGGATTTTTTGCGTTTATTTTAAACTCGGAATTCCTGACGTTTCAATACTTTGCAGCGTTAACGTCCGTGGTATGGATAATTTTATTTCCTATTTTGTAGTTTATAGTGTTACCAAAATGAATGTAAATAAATTATTAGAAAACTTTTATAATATTTTTAGAAAACAGTACGCAGCTTTCGTCCAGAAACAAGAAGTTCGGATTCACAGTTATATATTTTTTACTTGGAATCCAACTTTCAGGACGGGACGATCCCCGTGAAATATTTATTTTTGTGGGATATATTTCGTTAAACTTATCTTTGATTTAGTTAGTTTTTTTAATTTAGTTTATATAGGTGAACAATTTTGTGGATGGAAGTGCCACTGTTATTAATCTATTACATAATTATAATTGTGGAATTGCTTAAAACAGACGATCTATGACGATTTCTGTTTATAAAAATTTACACACATTAATAAAAATAAATTAAATAAAATTTCGCAACGAACAGTAAATTAGAAGTAATAGTTGAGAACGAAACAACATTTCCATGGATGTAAATGGTTTAAACTTTATAATACCTACGCAATAATTACGCAGTTAATTCTTTTTGAAAAAATGAATGAACTTTTTAAAGTATTAACTCTACTTGTGTAACTGACATATAGTGGTTAGACAATGATCTCGAAACATGAGCCGTCTGAATTTTTAAATAACGTGCACATGTACAAATCTATACCTTCGAATACCAGTACTGTCCCCCAAATAAAAAAGCCACGGTCTACCCACACAGAAGTTTGCCATTCCGTACGCCTCTCAGCAAGCATTCATTATTCAGGACAGACGGGGGACCTGGGAGGTGGAGGGGGGGGGGGGGGGGGGGGGTCTTTTCTGCGTGCAAAAACTTTCGTTTTATTAAATCTTTCGTGCCTCCGCCTCGCTGAAAGAAACCGTCGCCGAAGCTATCCCCTCGAGTGGAATACGTTTAAAGAGTATTGGATATTGTTCTCTCGAATAAATTAGGTCGGGACATACTGCGTAATCATTTTATCGACGGCAATCTTGCGGGAACATAGATTGTAAAAATATAGCTTTCAAAATGAGTTATATAACGAGTTCTTGAGTTTAGGCGAATATAACATTTTGTAAATATAACTATTTTACGCCGCGTGTTATTTCTTAGCCGTAAACGACAGAAGAGGCGGGCAGGATAAATCACATTTTCACATTATATAAAACGACCATCTTGTATCAAATCTATTTATAAATGACTAAATCATCTTTAAAAACTTCCTAAATAGTCGTAAATTGGAAATCCATAGACATTATTATGTATTATTTTATAATTTCCCGAAAAAATGTGATATGTGATATATCAGCTTTTGTTCTGATGCTCCTCATTTCGTATACTCTATCTACCGTAATCCTTACTAATATTATAAAGGCGAAAGTTTGTATGTATGGATGGATGTTTATTACTCTTTCACGCAAATACTACTGAATGGATTTTAATGAAACTACAATAATATAGCTTATACATCAGAATAAGACATAGGCTATAATTTATATACATATTCTTTCGGTGGTAGGGCTACGCAGCAGCCTCGGCTGTTGCACGAATGGACAGGCTGACCCGGGTCAGTACCACGACCTCACAGAAGACCAGCGTAAAGTGGAAGTATAATACTTTCGCGTTTCGTCTGGTGAGTGAGGTGGCCAGAGCCCATTTTTCAAAAGGTTGTCAACACATCTGGAACCCTCGAGTGTATCAGATGTCCATGGGCGGCGGTATTCACTTAACATCAGGTGAACCGTCTGCTCGCTTAGCAACTTTTCACATTAAAAGAAATATATCTATCTGTCTGAATGTTACGCCTTCAGCCTATTCTACGCAGACGTAGTCCCGGGCAGCAGCTAATTCCAGATATTTCGAACACTTTTCAGCTTCCGGGATTCGGGTCCGGCGTTCAGGGAATCTTTTTGGTTACTTACTTTATACTTACTGTGTAGATCTTACTCGTAAACGACAGAAGAGTCCGACAGGATCTTGCAAAATGTCATTTCATATACTCTATCTATCGTAATAAGTTATAAACCTTAGCATTTTATTATTCCTCTACGACGCACGTGTTTTGTATAGTTTAATGAGACGTCGCTGTCAAATGTTAATTGATCCCCATAATCATGCAGCTGTGCTTTAAGTATTCGACCAAACATAGCCGGCGTTCTTTAATTAATAGACCACATGTGACACTTGATACCCTCCAGACAAACCTTGTCCTTGAAGACACCCAACAGTCGACTGACAACTTCGTCGCAATATTGAATCCTTAATCAAATATGTATGTGACATGCGTTAATAAGTTCTTTTATATTAAATGGCGTGTATTTGTTGGATTATCAAACACAGTAATTGGATCATGTAGACACGGTACAGTTTAGTTTAATGTGTTATCATTTCATATTTATACTGCAAGTCTTAACGTACAGTTATTTTTATAACAATTAATGTTAAATAATTAATTTGATTGCTGTAGTTGCTGAATGATATACGTTATACAATAGGCGAGTCTTTAGTTCGTTTGTGGACGGGACAAGTATATACGAGATACAATACATAATTGTAGTGCATGAAATGCTGCTATCACCCTATCAGGGGCATTTTTTAATATGTACGGAACAGCTATGTCCTTAATCCTCCCATGTATTCCATAAAAAGTTTATTGTTGTAATTTGTTAAATGGTTGCCATTTAACAAATTACAACAATGACACAACAATTTTTTCTTAACACTTTTTTTTGATAATTGTTATCTGTGAAGTTATCGATTAATTAAAAAAATGGAATATAAATAAATATTTATGAAATTAAAATTTCATGGTAAAGATTATTAATACTCAAAAAATGTACAGTTATTTGCCGTCGTGGATATTTAGTAAAAATAACCAATAATATTAGCACCTATCACTTGATTAAGGTATACAAGTATGCTTATACGACTGTGTTAGGGCCACACAACGAATCTTTATTATCATATTCATTTTGCGTGGCCCTACCACAAGCGATTGCATACAAAATTGGCATTGCATCAGAATTTCGTGCGTCCGTCGTCTTTTGATGCCATATTGATTCATAAAATCGCCAACAATTATACTCTAAAGTAAATCACGCACGCGACTCATGCTATCAAACTATTCGAAGTAATTAGACTCCGCACGCACACACCAGAAAAGCTTTATCTCGTATCTATCAGACGCCAGGGGGAGGCAATTTTCCGGTGTAGCGATCCGGCAACACACCCGAGTATTACTGGATCCATAATGTTTACAATGTATAGATAATTTCTGATTACCCTGGCCATACAAGGCAAATTGTTATCTATACAAATAAAAAAATATTGTTTGGCACTTCGCGAGCCGTGATAGCTCAGTGTCCGGCCGCTCGCCTTTAATTCAATATACTCGAGCAACCTGAGTTCGATCTCCGGTGCCGGCACCAATGAAGTTTTTAACTTTAAGTGTTGAGTTATCACGTGCTCCGCGGTGAAGGAAAACATCGTGAGGAAACCTGCATATTTTCGAAATAATAACAAAAAAAATATTTCGAAGATATGTGAAGTCCGCCAATGGGGCCGCGTGGTGGAATATGGCCTGATACCCTCTGTATATAGGAGGCCTTTGCCCAGCATTGGGACATGTATAGGCTGTTACTTTACGTTACTTTTTTACTTCGCGTGCCTTATTGATTACTACTCGGATTACATTTATTTATTTATTTATTTATTTAATGAACGCCAACATAATGTACACTATTTAAGACTAAGGAAATTAAATATACATCAACTGTTCGTTAGTGTCATTACAATTAAAGGCGCTGACAATACCGTAGGCGTTTATTTTTTTCGACCCGATTAGAACTTGGGTAATATCTCATCTGATTGTCATGACGGATATACTATTATAGGTTTGTACGTAATAGCTCAGCCTTCAAGGTATAGTTCCGAAGACGCTCACATTATAATCCCATGGAAGAACTGTCGTTAGAAGCCGCTTAAATACACCAGCGTTCACTCACTCGCGCACGAGACGAAACGTAAAAGTGTAACACTGCCCTTCACTGCGGTTTCATGCGACGTCGTGGTATTCATACACCATAACCAATGGTACTAGAACATCATAACCAAATATATTTAATGTTATAAAATATCAAACACTGTATGCACGCTGAATCAAATCAAATCAAAATATATTTATTCACATACGACGCTTGTGCATTCTTATGAAACGTCAAAATTTTTCATAAAAATTTATACGTTCGTAAGTTACCACCGGTTCGGAAAGCAGTTTCTGTTGAGAAGAAACCGGCAAGAAACTCAAGAGTTGCTCTTTTTTAAAAGATTAGTATACAGTATAATAGGACAGCTATAAGTCTCATTTTAGCTTGCGTGAGTAGAATGCATTTAAAGGTTAACATAATCAAGTACAATTTACATAAGTCCATTGTTATTAAGTGTCCAATTATGAGATAGATTATTATTTACGTGTAACTATTTGCGAAACTTCGAGGTTCGATTTATCGGGTCAATGATACTAGTTAATTTAGTGCTGTTTCATGTTTGTATTAAAACCTAATAAAACTAATAACGAAGCGATTATGGTAAATGTGCTGTTTTAAACCAACTTTTGTGTCCCTTTGTTGGCTTTGATAATAATTTCTTGCGTTAATCATTCGTACAGGAATTAATGCATATAGTTTAAACAGTGTCATTTAGTGACTTTTATGGATCAAGGGATCCCCTTACCGAATCAGGGTCATTTAGTGACCTAGTGAATATAATAATAACTATGTAATACAAATTAAAACTATGCAAGAATAATTACAAGGCTCTGGAGAAGTGAAAGTGCCAGGCTATATGCCCCACAGCTTTCAACATTGAAAATTTACAATTTCGTTGTTGCTGGTACCGGGATCTGGCTGAATCCGCGCTCATCAAGCGTCCTTATTTAATTCAAAACTGGCCAACATTTGACTGCCATCCCACCTGATGGTAAGTGGGGATGCAGCCGTTCATACTAAGCGCGCTAGCTCAGTAAAAACCTATTCACTCTTGCCTTGAAGACGCTTACATTGTAGTCGAAAAAAAAAAATAAATTTATTTTAATGGAGCGACCTGAGTTCAGATCCCGATTCCAACACCAAAAAAAATTGTTAATTTTGAGTCCTGACATTCACGTGCTAGGCGCTGAAGGGAATCATCGTGAGGAAACCGACATATTTTCGTTATAATATTAAAAAAAAATATTTCAAAGATATTTGAAGTCCGCCAATCCGCAGTGGGGTCGTGTAGTGGACGTTGCCCAGCAGTGGGACATGTATATGCTGATACTGTACTTTTACATTACACTTCTTCCATAAAAAATAAAGATAAGGTAGGACCGTGCAAGGTCCCGAACGACATCTGCTGGTAGATTAATAATGAAAATTATACAAGCTTTCAATATATTTTTTTTTGGGTACTGCCGAAATTTGATTATGATTTTGCGTGTTATTTAGTTGCGAACAGAGTCCCCCCGCCACCCTCCCGAAGACATTAATTAAGTTTCCATTTAGTTGTGTGACGTAATTTGATTCCATTCAAAATTGCGTTGACGGGCACACAAAGCTTTTGGGGATTTTCCGTTTTTAATTGTATTGAAATAAATTGAATTTGCAGATCAAAGTCAACTTGGTTGACGGTGAAGGTTACTCACTATAAGATTTGAATATGTAAATTTTAATGATTTTCATATTATTAGTATTTGGAGGGTATTAACTTACTTCAATAAATAATTAATAAGTTCAATAAGTTCATATTAGTAAATTTCCTGACGTTAGTCGACTTGCCAATCCAGACAAGGCGACGGATGCTGGAATGTATCCGAAACTCTGAAACTTCTGGAATTTTCAAATTACTCTTTATATATATATATATATATCTTTATATATATATATATATATAACTCTTCTGTACATCTGTATGTCACTGAACTCCTCCTAAACGCCTGGACCGATTTTAACTAAATTTTTGTCTTCAGGTCGATCCGAGTAAGGTTTAGATTCACAATTCGGTCCACTACAATTTTTCTTTTTATATTTCTAAGCTTTCGAATTTAAGTCTTGTGTACAGGACAACGTCTGTCCGGTCCGCTAGTTACACAAATGTTCATAAATTATCATTGCCATAATTACAATTATCATCATGTTGACCTCTTGGGTATTTTTTTTTGTTTCATTATGCCACTTATGTGATAAACGATCCTCTTCATTATTGCCACGTATCCAGGTAAAAAAATCTGTATAGAAACTTCCTTCGTCACTTGCTCCCCGTGCAAGTGACGAAGGAAGTTTCTATACAGATGTCTATTGAAGTTTGTCAACCGACTTCAAAAAGGAGGAAGTTCTCAATTCGAGTGTATTTTTTTTTATATTTGTTACCTCAGACCTTTCGACTGAGTGAACCGATTTGATGATTCTTTTTTTATTTGAAGGCTGGTGCTTCCCATGTGGTCCCATATTAATTTTAAAGGTATAGATCTTGGGCTCTGGATATATATATATATATCCAGTAATATAATGACGAATGAATGATTACAGAGTGAGATGCTTGAAGTGGATTATGTTGTTAATAAAAAAAATGGACTTGTTTGTCGCAGACTGTGCACCCTGCGCGTGACACGGCTGAAGGTCTGCGGCGCGCTCGGGGAGGCGGGCGCTGGTGCGGCAGGTAGCGCCGGCGCCGGCGCGGTGATCCTCGCCGCCCGCATGCACAGCAGCAAGAGGACGCTGCGCTCGAACGACATCGCCGTGCCCCCGCTGGACGTGGAGCTGGACCTCTGCTTCTCGCTGCAGTATCCCCACTTCGTGAAGCGCGACGGCAACAGGTCGGTGTGCTTACGCGTTCGAATGCAAGAGTTTTGTGCGTGCGTGCGTGCGTGCGTGTGTCTTTGTGAAAGAAAGAAAGAAGAAACGTTTATTCACGGTCTAAAATGAATACATACAAAACTTAAAAATAATAATGTAACTACACAGAAACTTTAAATAAATGTAAACATAAAAATAAGCAAACAACAACATGTGACGGTATGTGTAGCAGCATAAGACCGTGAAACGGACGGGACTCGGTAATAGTCGAGATACTGATCCCGACACCGGTTTTCAGTCCGGCCCGCACTTCGAGGCAACTCGGACGGCTGCGGCAGTGACCTTGCGAAAAATAGCTACAGCGCAGTATAGCGAAAATTAAATTGTTTTGTGTGTGTGTATGTGTGTGTGTGTTGTTCCATATGCGTGATGCTCGTTGCAGATGCTTTGCCTTTGATAAAGTGGGAAACGGCTACCTCGCACACCAGACGCAACGCATCTGTGAGTTCGCGGTACTTACCCGGACGGGCCTGCACATTCATGCAACAGAAAAGACTTACTTCACTTCTAGACAAGCTTAAATATGATTGCCGGACTAAACCAATTGATCTATGGACTAATATAAATTTGTGTCAAGTGTTTGGTGGTATAAGAAGCCAGAAATGACGGAAAATAAGATTTATTTTATTTAACCACCAATGGTAAATAGCAAAACAACAGAATAATGCTTTTATTTTCCGTAAAAAGAAAGTTATAGTAAATTTAAAAGGCAAATCTTAAAAAAAAATGATCTGTACTTTTACCTAAAGATCCACAATATCTTGAATTGGTTTTCAAAAGAACAAATCCGAACTTATATCTGACGCTGTTTGTGCTTACATTTTCAAACAGGATATTTCTTCTTCCGCCTTTCCATAAGTCAATATAACAACGGCTCTGTCACGGGCTCAGACAAATGAACCGAACAACAAATTACTTTTTGATATTTTTTAAACGGCATATTTTGTTTACCAATCTAAAGACGCAAACTCATCTATGTTAGAAACTGCACTATTTAATGCAGTTCACAAGATAGAATTTAGGGAACTTAGCGTCTCTACATTTGCACTGAGTATGCTTATATCATTAAAACTACGCAACGGATCTTGATGTGGTTTTTTTTACTAGATAGAGTGCTTCAAGAGGAAGGTTTATATGTATAATACCGTTGCACCCGTGCGAAGCCAGGGCGAGTCGCGAGTAGAAAATAAATAAATAGCACGAATCGCAGCAAAAATGGTTTTAAGTTTTTGCTTTTGGTTGCAGGTTGCAAATAATGCTTCAGAGGCGCAAGAAGTATAAAAACCGCACAATACTCGGCTACAAGACCCTTGCGGAGGGAGTCATCAGAATGGACCAGGTGAGTCACGAATCGTGCCAATAAACAATTGACTTCCATCGCATACAAAGTTTAAACGAGTAAACACTGCCTAAATATAAACCTTATGGTTACTACGTGTCCCGTCTTTGTTCTTAGTTTCTTAGAGCCGTGATAGCTCAGTGTCCAGGCGCTCGACTTCAATTCATGAGTTCACATCACGGTGCCGGCACCAATGAAATTTGAATTTCACGTGCGTTGTTGTGAAGGAAAATATCTTGAAGAAACCTGAATATTTTCGAAGTAATAAAAAAAAGTAAAACTTGTTTCGAAGACACGCGAAGTCCGCCAATTCGCAGTGGGGTCGCGTGGTGGACTATGCCCTAATATCCTCTGTACAAAGGAGGTTATTACGTGAACTTTTTTTTACCTTCGTTGTTCATCCTATCAACTCGAAATCCGATCAGCATTCCTTTGATGTTAAATCGAGCGCAGTGACGTTCGCGGCCGATGCTAATTAAAACGGAAGTTAATTCGGCGTCAGCACCGTTTCTCTGTGTACCTCGTTAACCGTTCCCCCAATTGCCGCTACATCAAAACAATGGCGCACCAATCGTTTAAATTAATTTGCGACGCAAACGGAGTTTTAATTGGAATTTAGTCGACCGGATCGATTTTGCCTTTCGTCTGATTGGTATTTGAAAAGTAATTAGGACGTTGGATAGAGTGTTACCGACACAATTATTATCCTCACAAATATGATTTCGACAACACGAGATGTTAATTTATCGCTAAATTATTACAAGCTGTATGGTGAGATAAAGAATGCCGTAATATGGAACTGTATTGTGACGATTGCATCACCCGCCTCGTCGCAAGAGGTCTACGCGGAGGTTGTATTTCATTTTCCTATTTGCCAAAAAGGCTTTGCCCTGGGGCGGGTCGTATTTATTACGAACAAAATTTGCTTCGTATTTTATTCATTTATTTATCACCAACAAAGTACATAATGAATCAGAATAAATATACAAGTTTTATAAAAAAGTGATGGGAGGCTTATAGGCAAAATCTACTAAAAATACTTTTTAACAGACAGTATAGACACAACCAAGTATAACAGCATTGTCGATAAAATAACGTGAACCGTTTTTAAAACGACAAATGCAAATGGGTGTATGTTTAATCTTAGAATTCCCAGTACCTAGACCTTCTCTTTCATTAGTGCTTGATAAAAGCGTGCATTGAATTTGGCGATGTCGATTAAACATCGATCGGATCATGCAGTACGCGTGTAGAATATGTGTAGCCTCAGTTGCATCCGCCTCGCAGGTGCTGCAAAGATCCATGGACATGGAGCTCGAGTTGACGGGCGTCGGCGGCAAGGTGGGCGCCGCGGCCAGCCAGCCGGTGGCCAGGCTCACCATCACCGGCCTGGCCTCCACGCCCGTGGACCACGACACCAAGAACAACAACACCCTACTCATCACAGGTAAGACACCTGTGCTTAGACGCCTCCGACGATGAAATTTTCGAAGTAATCAATGGTTGTTACCCGCGACCCATGATGAGTTTGAACTGACCGTCAGTTGACTCAGAACGAGAGCCTACATACGCTCCAGACCTATTACATAGGAAACCAGTAATTTTTAGGACATCAGAATAGTCACATAAAGTTTGTTTAATTCTCCGGCCCAATAACTATCTCGGTGCAAAAAACTTGTTGAAACTTGGCTCAGTTGCTGCGTAAAAGCTGACCAACAAACACGTAGTTAGAGTTAAACGTAGTATGATTTTTAATGAAAGCATTACCACATAATTAATTTTAATTTTCATTCATATGTTCCCTACTGCACTCACGCTGACATAAAAATGCATTTACTTATTCCATCTTCGTGGCATCTTTTCATAAAAAAAAAAAACATTAGTTTTATCTTTTTTTTTTTTTATGGAGAAAAGGGGCAAACGAGCAGGAGGCTCACCTGATGGTAAGTGATTACCGCCGCCCACGAACACCTGCAACACCCGAGGGCTCACAAATGCGTTGCCGGCCTTTTAAGAAAGAGTTCGCTCTCTTTTTGAAGTACGTATCTATTCACGTTCCAATGACTCGCGCTCGTTAAAACCATTCGCAACTTCTCCGCAGGCGTTGAGTGGGAGAATCTCTTTCAGGTCCGATTGTAAAGCGTGTTTCATCTTCGGCGCAAACATCCGTCAATCTTTAGCGTTTGCCGTTCTCAAATAAATCACCGAATGATCCGTCTTTCGCCGGCGGCGCTCCGTGATCGAAATTCGGGACGGGGGATAAAAACGGACTGGGCCCCCGAGCCGTGCGTGTTCAAAGCCCACGGACGGGTATTAAAGCCGTATTCATATCGAGCGCGCCTACTTTAAAATTAGAGCGACGAGCACGCTCGTGTACCCCTGAATGTGCAGCGGAATAGCTTTTAATGACCGGACTTTTTGAAGGCTGTACGTAAAAAGCGTGAAATGTTAAAAATGTACGCGCTAAATACGAATACACAGGCGAAACAGAAATGGTTAAGTTTGATTTGAATTTGAAATGATGTCCCAAAGGAATGTAATCCCTCTTGGCGATGTTGTGAGAGAAGTCGTCGCAAAAGTAATCGTTAACCAGATTGCATGTATGATGTATGTGTTGATATAAAACTGATGTGACATGATCGTAGAAAGTATGAAGGTTTAATTAATTAAAGGACTCTACGGTGTGCCTGATATCGGATATCCGAGAGTAACTTGTCGAAGTCCATCTGATAAAATAACATGTATTAAGTTTTATTAACTAAGGAAAGAGAACGTGTAGGGTGAGAGCGAAGGTATTAGATCGCACGTTTGCGCGTTGTTCAATAGAAATTGATACCTTGTGCAGAATGCTCTAGGTTGACTCAACGATGTGTTTATTTATTTATTAGGTCTGGCAGTAGATGTTACATTAAAAACAATATTACATGAAACATGAATAAATGTTACAACTAAATGTACATCTAATTAAGAGGCAAACACAGCATGCTTAAAAATTAAAACAAAAAAAATCATATAAGTTAAACGAAAGTGTGAACAAAATATCGTTAGACTTACTTATTACTAAATAAATTAAAAAGATTAAAAAAAAGCAGATTGTAATTTTATAAGGCAAGACAAAAAAGAGTAAAAACCTATGAAGAAATTTAAGTCATGTGGTATATGGTATTGTTATAAATGACAAATGTTAGGTTACATACAACATCAAACAGAATACAAATGACTTATACAAATAAAAATTACTTAAATCTTAGCATTAAAATAAATTTTAAGAGCTTCTTATTTTAAGATATTCATTTATTTTACTCCGAAATACTTTTAATGAGTCAAAATGAATAATATAGTAAATAATAGGTTGTGGTGCATTCATTAATTAAATTAGACAGGCGAGACACTGGTGAGTTTTTTCCCAGAACAGTGCGTTTAATTTGCGGAGGTAAGAGAGCGATAGCTTTGCGGGGATACTTGCGAGGTATACGGTAGTTAAAAAGAGCAAGGAGTTGTAGACCGTCAATATGGTTACGAAGTACCTTATATGCAAACAAAAGATCTAAGATGTCTCTACGATGCGCTAATGATTCCATATTTAAATGTGCTAGTTGATCTTGGTAGGACATGGTTTGTCGTGTTGTGTTAATAAGGTGACTCATGTTCATACTGCACGGCGGTTCAAAATTGTTCCGCTTTACATTATATGACATATATAAGTGAAAGTTACACATGATATAGAAGCTATGGTACGGAAAGAGATAGCAGTCTATAGTACTGCAATTTAATTACACCAATTGGCGTAATCTGTGTGCCTCAGTTTCGGTGCGACAGTGTCATATCTACCTCGCATTTGTGTATGATATCATTGTGTCGGCTAGTGGCCGGTTCCCATATACAACTAACGGTCGTTAGTTACATAGCTTCGAAACTTTCATAACAAATTGTGGATAAAAGGCGTGTGCGCCCGGTGCCTATATTAACAAAACGATGGGTTTTCCTTACGTGCGGTTGCATTACCTACGGAAAGTGAGTTACTAGCGTTCCTTTAATCTACAAGTCGTTATGGAAGTTACGAAGCTATGTAACTAACGGCCGTTCGTTGAATACAGGAACCGGGCATATGTGTGAATGTAAAATGTAGCCGGTTCGGGACGCTGATGGGTTTATCGCCAACAGAGCGGGGCTACTCCGACGAAGAGGAGGAGGGCGAGTTCAGTTCCGTGGAGGAGGCGGACGACATGACCTACGGAGCGCCCGCCAGACGGCGCCCCCATCGACAGATAGAGTTCAACAAGGCGGACATGTCCTATACTAAAGTGAGTATACTTCTTTTTGTTTTTTTACCCGACTGCGCCAGAAGGGGAATTGTTTTTTGAGAGTAAGTATGTATGAATGTATGTATGAATGTATGAATGTATAATTGTTTGGCCCGCTCTGCAGCCTGAACGGCTTGATGGATTTCAGCTTGAGACGTGTCGTTAGATTGGTACCTATTTACTGTGAGAGTGACACTGGTTATATCAAAATAAAAAATTGTTTTTAAAATAAAACACTTGTTTTTCTTCGTGATCTTTATTACTGAAGATCGTGTCCATCTTAAAAAGCTAACGTTAGTTATCATTGTATGAAAAAGTTCGATCATTCGAATTTCTTTCTTTCTTTTTTAAACCAAACTTTCATATCAGTTGCGAATTTTTTATTATAAAACTCCTTACATAGAATTTGGTATGCTATTATAACACGAGACTGAACTAGAAGTAGTAAGCTAGAACTTTTATAACTTTAGATAGGAGAATTCCTTATAGTAAAGTCCCTTAGTCTTAAAAAACTTTAATGCCATGTGATCTTGGGACAATAACATGCACCAAAGCTTTTAGTAAAATATGTATTTAAAAGTTAGTTTATAAAATAGATATTTTATTTACAATATCAATTAAGTGCCATAGAATTGAAACCATTTATAGATATTAAGATATATTTATACATGAATATAAGCTAGTAATTAATTTTTTATAGTTTTTTCTATACTTTATAATGCAATCAACTTATTAGAAATTTCACATTTATTTACAATTATTATCTTATTTTAATTACATTTGTTATAATAGAAACGTTTTAAATAATTGCCTAACTATTTATATTTTTAGACTAGTAATATTTTTACAGTTTTATTTAATGAAACTAAGACGAATTTAAACCAAATATTTTCACATAACATATCCTTACTGCGATACGAAGCAGCAAACTTTCCTTGTACCTTAAAATTTACATTAAGGTCACATATTATATTTATAAGCTGTCTCTCTCTGTTTTTCCCGAGTCGAACGTTAGTCACTAGAAGTTCCTTAACGAGAAATGTTCCTTCAACATTGTATCTTAGAAGTACTACTTAAAAGAACTCGTTTTCAATGCTCGATTCGATTTTATTTTACTATAATTATTTTCATATTTGTAATATATATTGTGTTAACTTAATTAAATCACAAACTCATAAAGTTCTTTTAAGAGTTAAGTAATATTTAAGAACAAAAAAATTATGAAATTTGTCGTCGCAAAAAAGCCAGCGACACCTCTTGAAAAGATGAGATTCCTTTCCTAATACAAAATTTTGCTTTTATGTCAAACGTTAAGTTCCAGTACGAACTTTGGTTTGGATGGAAGGATTATTTGCACTGTCAAATATAGTTTTGGGTAGTACATAATTATTGTATGGCATTTGCATTGACCTAGTTCGAGGCTTCTGCTTCAGCTTAAACTAGCATCGCTTCACGCAGCTTTCGCGGTCGCGCGACCTGAGCTACGCGGAGCGCGAACGAAAGAGACAGAGCTATGTGCGCTCCAAGGTGCACGACAGGGACAGCGACAGCGAACTGGAAAGCGCGGCCGCTAAGCGCAAGGGCAGCCGCGGAAAGCTCGCGGTGAGCTTGCCGCACGCGAAATTGTACTTTACTTGTTGGAGATAGAGTTGATATTCGTATAATCTCTAATACCTGTTAGCTTTCAGTGCCGTTGTTACCTTGTCGCTGTGTTCGTATGTCTTTTGTTTATACGATTGGCATAACTGTGTAGTGCTTTCTTGTTGTCTGTAATCTGTTCATACTCTATTTAACAATGAAAGTATACCTTAATGTAATTTGACGTCGTATATTGCACAGCTTTCTTTAATTTTCTCTAATTAATTTAATCGTGACTTAAATAACGGATTGTTGGCCACACGCAAACTTCATTGAGAACTTAACTATAGTTAAACTTTAATTTGCACTTTGTACATAATAATACTCAACTTATGAATTGAACGAATTTAAGGCCCTAATCGATCTCTATGAATCAAGTCAGAACCGTCGGGCGTTTAAACGTCTAAATAATTTGTCATTATTGTTTAACTCTAATTTAGCTCTAAAGAAAGCTGTAAGAATGTAGTTAGTAATGTATATTGTAAAGTAATTTACGGTATCTTTACAGATACCGTAGCAGTCTCTTTCTTCGACGTACGCAAGATAGGTACAATATGGTATTAATGTCAGTATCTAACTTCCTCTCTGCATTAAAATTCGTAAGAAAAATGGACAAAAGAATCCGGAAAACATAGGTTCGGTACTCGCAACGACGAAAAACTTTTCGTCCATTTTTTCTACAAATTTTAATGTTTCATCTTAAATGCAGAGAGATATAAAAACTTAATGTAAAAATTTATAGCTCTCTGCAAATGAGATTTCTAAATAGTCAATAATTATCAACAATCTTACAGTATAAATTGATGTATGTAGTGGTGAAGGGTGCTTATACAGCGTGTCGTTACAACCGCGACAATAAATAAATGAACTTGCCAATAATCGTAATAAAATATAATCGTTAAAAAATCCATAATTAAAAAAAATATTTTCAAACAAACTAATTAAGTAAAAAAGAAACAAAATTTGTAACATCCTATACAACTACAACTGACTGATTCATACATTCAGAGACTTTTTCATTCGTTGCCACAGCGTCGCATTACAAGCCTCTCCTTCTAACAGTATGTTTTGTCTCCTTTAAATTCATTCAACCCATTCATATGCTTTGTGACCTTTACGAATGAACTTTACGTTACAGTTTTATACGTAAGGGTGTTATAAAGTTCATTGTTTTGGAAAATTTTAACTCTGTAAATATTGATGTTTAAAGGAAATATAAATGTTTAATAAAACTTTTAAAAAGTTATCCCCTATATGTGTGTTCATTTATTGTCGCGATTATAAAGACACTCTGTATACTTTAATTTTTTCAGATTTATCTCGTTTCATCCCCTTCGAAGATACGTTGCCCACAATTCTATATGTGTCTGCGCTATTGTATCTTTATCTTTCTGTGTATTTAAATGTTTGTTTATTGTTGTGATGTTTTTGTACATACGTTTGCATGGGTGGCAAGTTGTTCTTGTTTACAGTTTGACATATGTGTACTAGTGTACAGTGTGACTAGATTCAGGTGCGTGTGTAGAGTTTGACGGACTCATGGTTCCCTGCAAAAGTGAATCTATTCGTCAACTCAACGATCAACTTCAATCCATCTATAAACTTCACATCAAAATCCGGACCTGTTTAGTCTTAAGGCTATGGAAGCAGCCAAACAAATACGATTCACAATGTGACAGTAGGGGGAGGAGTATAATAAACAAAATAAAACCGTTTAAAAACTTTAAAGTTAAACGGTTTTATTTTATGTGCACTGAAAACTACAATATTGTATTGTCATCTAAATTAAATGTGTGTACCAAATTTCAGATCAATCTGACAACGGGAAGGTGCTTAAATTTCAATTTCTAATTTTGACCCAAATAAATAAACAAATTCCGTACGGGTCGAGCTAAATAAAACCGTTTAATAATAAAGGAATACTAAAATAATGATAGGGCCATTATTGAAACATCCGCTTTAAATCGCTCACTACTTGTCCCATCAATGATCAAGATTACAAATTTCATCGGTAATCCTCTCCGCACGGATTTCCCGATGTCTATTCAGCGATCAAAGGCTAACGACACGAAGGTCGAAGGCCGAATGATCTCATTCAAGTTTACTTTACGATAGCGCGCTCGCTTATCTCGCTGTTCTCAAAGGGATTAGATAACTATCAGCAGTCTCGGGAGCCGCGCGTTCTTGACACTGTTAACTCTATGGAGGTAGTGATTTAACTTTGGATTAATATGCTTCCATTTTAATCTTTCGGGCCGTGCACAATGGTTATGTGAAAGTAACTTGTTTAAACTGTAATGCGCCACTGCAGAATAATGTTTACATGTAAAACTGAATCTATTTTATTGTAATATCGGCTGTACTTCGACTGGCGACAGTTGGAGATGACGCGTCAATGCTTTCCAAGCTAACAGAGCGTACATAATTTTATATGGATGGAGGATTTATATTTACGTATATGGACAAAAATAAGTGTTAATGCGAAATTAGGTCAGTGTTTTCGATGCACCACGGGATCGTTTTAACTTTGCCAGCCTTTCAAGTTTTTAGTTTCTGGTCGGCGTCTATACCGAACGGAGGTATTTCGGCTCGGACGGTTACAGCATCTCGAATGTTCCACGCTAACTCGCCCACACGCTTACCGTCCGCAGCAACGGAACCTGAAGCAGAAGTTCGCGGCGCTCCTCCGCCGCTTCCGCGTGCCCGAGGAGTTGGGGGAGCGTGGTGCGGCCAGGGACACGCACCACGCCCAGCGGGACATCGACGAGCTGTTCCAGGTCAGTGGCCTCGCCTAAAGCAACTTCTCTTCCCTTCTTCGGGTTCCGCCGCTGAACTGTCCAAACCCGTCTGGCGCGCTTGTTCCCGAATTTCGATCGTCTTGCGGCTTAAACGTTATAGAAACGGTGTTGATTTCGATCGTCGTTTTAGTATTTTTTTATGTGAGAAAGTGGCAAACTGGCTGGCGGCATTTACAACACCCGTAGGGTTGCAGATGCGTTGCCACCTCTTAATAATGTGGGCCCCGGCTACCTCACTCACCAGACGAAACGCAGAAGTGCAACACTTCTACTTTACGCCGGTCTTCTGTGAGGTCGTAGTACTAACCCGGACGGACCTGCCCATTCGTGCAACAGCAAACACTGTTGCGTGGTCCTACCACCGAAAAGTAGTAGAACTCTCTGGAATCAGGACCCGATTTACGAATGTCCCTTTAATAGAAAATTCCGCAATAAGACGCTGCTTTCATTCCACACTAATCGTTTAATGTCATTTAAACTATCAGGACGGGATTTTGAATTATAAATGTTTGTAATTAAATGAAAAAAAACTTTCGGCGCTGCGGGATTTGCGCTGACGCTTTATCGACTTAGCTAAGCGGCCGATGACCTCACATCCCTACAACCATCTACGTTCTTTCTGTTTCATCTTGAATCCCGCAGCGCCGAGAGTTTTTGTTCATTAATCTACAAAAATTACAGTTTAAAATTTCATCTTTACTGCAGAGACTAGTTAGCTCTAAAAATAAAAATTAATCCGAAATGTTGTGACGGGATCTTGACATTCAACACGTCAAGCATTAGCATTCCGTTGATAGCCCCTGGGACTGCCATCGCAGCCACATAATTTTTTCCGAACAAAACCCCCGCCAGGAACTAGAGTCGCTGTCGTGCGGCGAGGGGGAGGACTCGGGGCCGGACCAAATGGACACCATCAGCATCGGCTCCACGCCGAAGCCCTCGCTGCGGCCCTTCTTCAGCAGCTCCCGTTCGCTGGCCAACCAGGAGCATCACAGGCACTCCAACGGTAACCCACCCATTGGACCCGACGGAGCGCTCTCCACCGCTCTCTTCTATGCTCGAATGACGTTGAGAAGTTAGGATTACCAGAATTAATGCTCCATTTCATCGGTATTAAGTGTCGGAGTGTTCAGTTCGAGCCGTAATGTTCGTTACAATCTTGTAAGCTTTAATTTCGTCAGCAAGCTTTGGTTCCAATTAATAAAATGACTGCTCTATTGTATTGTAACTAAATCCTGTTCAAAATTATCTAGACAAAGTAAAGTCAAGTAAGCCACATTGATGCCTTAAGCATGTATGTTGTATCGTATTTAAATATGAAATACAAAATGTTTGTGTGCGATTTACAAAATTTGTCTGATCAATTTTTAATACAATATATATAGCGTTCGTTTTTACAGTATGAAAAATTGCTTTGAGGTAAGTTTCGCCACTTGTCACTAAACACCCACACATGATTTAAACGACATTTACTTACAATCCGACTAAGTATTCATTGGACATGTAATCTTTAACTGCCTGAGCATCAGATTGCATACACTGATATGAAAAGTACATTGTATGAATGCCTTCATTTTAATTTGCATAGTTACCTAAACATTATTAAGCACTGTTACACTTAAATCGATATGTATGTATGTAACAGTAGGTCATATGTATAACGTAATCAATACTTTTTATTTTTGTTGTGTCGCTGTGTGTATAGAGTAGATAAATAGGAGCGAGATGGGAGAGGGTTGAAGTTTATTGTTGGTTCTTTGAGCCGGATACAAGACGCTTTTTAAACTAATTAAGTATTTTCACAAACAGGGCTCAAGTCGTTCTAAATTAAATTATACAATTTCTATTTACACAAGGATTGGCATTAAAATATTTGGCAAATAAAATTTTTACGACAACTGAAACCGAATAATCAATTTTTTTGAACTGTCCTGTGCAAAAATTTCGTACTTAAACCTTGTCTGATCGATTTTATTATCAAAATAACCTTGTTTAGTTTATAGTGCCAATTTCTGCACTTAAGATGAAACGTTAAAATTTGTAGCCGCTTAGCTTAGTGGTTAAAGCGTCTTGGCGCGACTCCAGTAGACGTGGGTTTGATTACCACAACGGGGAAAAATTTTTCGTCTTTTTACTTTTGGGATAACCTACCTCATGAAAGATTGGTATTTGAAAAAATTTTCAAAAAAGGCCTGTTTCTGTCTTTTTTCTTCGGCACCCTTCGTTCCCCTCTCCCGTCTCGCTCGCACGTAACGTGTGCGGCGCATGCGCAGTGACGCGGCACGCCAGTCTCGCGTCGGCCGCCGAGTTGACAACACCACGCGAGAAACTGCTGGCCACACTCCCGCTTGCAGGTACCGCATAGGGCTCCGCCCCGCATGATAACGAAATGAGCGTAATTCTACAAAATTTATGACGTTTAGTAATTACTCCTGTGCTGTACTGTATATTTGAAAGGCTTTTTCCAAAAATGAAAAATTACCAAATTTGAGATAATAATTTATTAGGAATTTTAATATCTAAACATGAAATAAATGGCACTACTATACGATTATAAGATTATAACAGAAAGGAAGAAAAGTTTTCAGAAACGTTCACTCATTTGTATACAGTGAAATAGTTTCATCGAAATTGAAAGTTTTAAATTTATTCTTAAAATCCGTTTCGTCCACAATCGCAAGAAACTTAAACATTAAAAATAAGTAGTTTTTACTAAGAGTTTTCTGTTAAAGAAAGAGTCGAAATAAATATAAATATCGCATTAACTATGCTTAATAATAAGCACATCAACTACTGCTTTTGTATATAATAAATTATGCTTTTGTCTGTTCTTTTGTTTCGTTTCTCACTATTGCTTCTTTGCCTTACAGCATGACCCTTACACATCTCTCCTAGGAATATTTTATTTTAAACTAACTCACACAAACATGTTTTTTGTTATCCTAATTTCTCTGTACTGCAAGCTGCCTCGATATGAAATCTTATTCTTTTACTACTGACTGTTTTTCTGAATGAGTTTGTTACGATTTCTTTTGCCTATTTTCAACCGAATTGCAATTTAAAAACAAGTCTTCATTACTTAAAATGACACCGTAAGAATTTTAGGAACCGTATTCGATGCCCTAAGTAAAAGTCTTGGGACTTATCGACAGGTTACAGTTAGTACAGGACAAAATTTTAGCTTGGTGAATGTCTTTTATTACCATGCTGCGATAGGAAAAAACAATAAACTTTATGTCAATTTTAAGATATTTAAAAACCGATAACCATTCGCCTTAACAAAAAACGTAAGACCTAGGCTGGGGCTTTACTGAAATCTGGATTAAAGGTGGAGATATTCTGGATGCATTAGCATATAACGTAAAAAATGGCGACTGCCTTTAAGATGGTGTTGGCATTGGTGGACTTCAAAGTGAAGTAAAAATTCTTCAAGTGGCTAAAACGTGGGGATTGTTACTGGAAAATTGTACTAAGGCGGAGGTGGTCTATTAATGTCCATGATAAGGTATTCCATAATATTTGGTACACGAAACGTGTAGTATATTTTATAGAAAGTTGCAGCTAGCTTAAAAGGTGGGAATGGTTTTTTTTATGCGAAAAGTTGTCAAATGAGCAGAAGGTTCACCTGATGTTGAGTGAATACCGCCGCCCATAGACATCTGCCACGCCCGAGGATTACAGAAGCGTTGACAACCTTTTGAAAATTGGGCTCCGGCCACCTCACTCACCAGACGAAACGCGAAAGTATTTGTCATACATCCACTTTACGCTGGTCTTCTGTGTGGTCGTGGTACTTATCCGGACGGGCCTGCCCATTCGTGCAACAGCCGAGGCTGCTGCGTGGCCCTACCACCGTTAAAATGGCATTGGTGTTCCAACATATTGTCATGTAGAAATCTTTATCAGGGAATTGGAGCATATTATGTAAAAAGCTTCTGCTTACTTTAAGAATGCCGTCTCTTTGAGTTTCTACATCGTATTTAGAATCTTTCCTAATATGAGGGTTGGTCAAAGCTACAGCGGGATTGCTTATAATTCACTCGGCTTAAGTGGTAGGCTACAAGGTGTTTTAGTAGTGTACATACAGATGATGCAGAAAGCTAGAACTAGCTACCAAGTGGGGGTGATCCGGCGTGTTTTAAAAAGCTACAGCTGAATTAGCTGGGAGAAGCTGTGTTTGAGTGTAGTCTTTAGAAACCTATAGCCAGCTTCTAAGGTGGAGTGGGTAGAAGTTTGCCAGTAAGTTATGTAGAGTGGTATGGTTGGTAGCAGAGTCGGAAGCGATGCGCAGCTCTGCTGGTGATGAGCGCGGCAGTGAGGGCAACAGTGATGGAGACTTGACCCTGGACGCTCAGGCTTCCGGAGCATCCGTATCCAGCTCGCCCCCCAACGAGATAAAGGTACGTTTCCCGAATGGATCAAATGCAAATGACAGCACACAAAGTCTCCCCTAAGATGATGAAACCTGCATACTTTCGAAATAATAAGTAAATATTTCGAAGATATGTGAACGGGTCCCGTGGTAGTCTAAGCCCTAACACCCTCTGCACAGATGTGGTCCTTGCCCAACGGGTGGACATATATAAGCTGTTACTTTACTATAGTTGTGCTACCGAGTAATAACTGAAACTTTTCCGTCACTAAACATTAATAAAACACTCTTTAATTAATTTATTAGTTCATTGGAATATTACTAACCAGTCTTTATTACTGAACTTCGAAGAAGTGAATTTCACCAGCTCTACACTCACTGACACTTGCAACCTTGGCAGGAGGACAAGCGGTCGAGGCTTTTCCGCAGCGCCACCAGCGGTGGCAACCTGACCCCCGCTGCGGCGGCCGTGCGCAAGAAGAACTCGCTGGTGGTGGCAACCGAGCGGCCCCTCTCCGCCCAGGACCTGCCCGCGCAGAGCCCTACCACCCTGGAGGTGAGGACTGGCCACGTAATATACCCATAGCGAGATAACTAAGGGTCAATTGATGAGAGCACGAAGATTTGCCACGTAGTTCTAGCGATAAAGTGTAGCGCATGCTAATTTGGAGATCTTTTATAGTTCTAAACTAAAAGTAAATTTTGGTGTTCCGCAAGGATCAGTGTTAGGACCCACGTTATTTTTTATTTCTATCAATAATCTGTGCAATATTGAGATGGATGATTCAAAAGTTATTACTTTCGCTGATGATACTGTAATTTTATTACATTATAAAAGCAAGTTGAAGGTGTTTATTTATCTATAATATGTATTTATTTACAATAGTTACTTAGTACCTATAATACAAGCTTGGATTTCTTTGGGTCTAATAGAAAAACTAGCCGTGATAGCTGTGTCCGGGCGCTCGCCTTTAATTCAATATACTCGAGCAACCTGAGTTCGATCGCCGGTGCCGGCACCAATGAAGTTTTTAACTTTAAGTGCTGACTTATCACGTGCTCCGCGGTGAAGGAAAACATAGTGAGGAAACCTGCATATTTTCGAAATAATAACAAAAAAAAATATATTTCGAAAATATGTGAAGTCCGCCAATCCGCAGTGGGGCCGCGTGGTGGACTATGCCCTGATACCCTCTGCATAGAGGAGGCCTTTGCTCAGCAGTGGGAAATGTATAGGCTGTTACTTTACTTTTTTACTTTACTAATAGCAAAACTTAATCTTGAAACATTATTTGTATGGGTGTATGACTTTATTTCAGCCGCGACGCACGCTCATGGAACAAGTGGCCAGGGTTTTGGGCGACGAGGGCTCGGTGCCGGAGTGCGTGGCGGTGGCGCCGTCGAGCGCTGCGATGGCGCTGCAAGCGCTCGCCGTGCCCGCTGTGATATTCGCGCCGCCCGCCGTGCCGGACGCGAGGCCGCTGCTGCAAGCGCTTTACGCTCGCGCGGTCAAGCAGTGAGTGAACTTATAACGCCTATTGGGAAGTGTCAAGTCGCTTGGTGAACTAATTGACGAAAATAACTATTGGAAAGGACTCGGTGGCGCATTTGCTAAGCTGTCGTGATATGGGACACAAAGATTCCGGATCTACCCGATTTGAGTGTTTATATCCAAGGAGAGTTGAAGTCAGCAATCGGTTGGTAGAAAAACCTAACCAGCCAATAACATTAACAACATAATTCAGTTGTTGGGTCAATCCCACCTAAGTGGGGTAAGGGCAGTAGAAAGAAAGAAAAGCACCTAATGGAGAATACATTAAATGAAACTATTTCTCCACATCGATTATATTTATTATCCATCGTTACTAAATGAAGTTGTTTTAACCGATTAACCGAAGTCATTTCGAACACTTTACGGTCACGGGACACACCGTATTAAAATAAAAAAAAGAAACGCGAATCCGTAAAATCAACTTTATTTATTGAGACTAGTTAGAGAGACAGAAACAGTGAGAGAAAAACGAGATATAATAAGTAAAAAAATAAGATATATAATAAAGGAGTGTGGATGTATGTGCTTTACATATTTTATGTAACACAGTGTTATTTTTCAGTACTTCTCACTTGACTTTCTCGCACCTCCTTACTTTCTCTATTTATTTGTTGGTTGACTCTTATATAACATCTAATCTTGTTAACTCGGCCATTGCACGTATTTTGCAAAAAGTTTTAAATGAATAGATAGAAATAGATAGAGAGAGAGAGAGAGAGAGATATTAGAAAAAAAAAACCGCGTAGTTTCTTGCTGGTTCTTCTCTGGCCAGGTCTAGTTTATTGAACCGGTGTGGTAGAAAAATATTGACTTTTGCTAAGCTACTAATGAACGTCAAGCGTTATTATTGAATAAAGAAATGTTGACTTGATTATGAAAGAGATAGAGGGAGGGAGAGAAAGAGAAATAATAGAGACAGGGGATCGTTTACTGACGCAATACTCGAATGTTGACTTCACTATGAAAGAGATAGAGGTAGAGAGAGAAAGATAATATAGAGAGGGGATCGTTTACTGACGCAATACTCGAATGTTGACTTCACTATGAAAGAGATAGAGGTAGAGAGAGAAAGATAATATAGAGAGGGGATCGTTTACTGACGCAATACTCGAATGTTGACTTCACTATGAAAGAGATAGAGGTAGAGAGAGAAAGATAATATAGAGAGGGGATCGTTTACTGACGCATTATTCGAATAAGACAGAGAGGGGCTCGTTTAGTAGCACAATATCCGCGCAGGGGCTCGAGGCGCGCGTGCGTGCGCGTGTGCGTGTGCGGCGGCGAGGCGGCGGCGGCGGCGGCGCTGAGGGCGCACGCGGAGCTCGCCGCGCGGCGCCCCCACGACGCGCCCCCCGTGCGCTTCTACGTCGTGCCCGTCGGTGAGCGCTTCTGACGCCTTCAACGCTGCCGGCACCATCGACACTGACAGCGCTACACCGCAATACCAGCATCTCCACCACTACCAGCACCTTCTCCGCTACCAGCACCTTCACCTCTACCAGCACCTTCACCTCTACCAGCACCTTCACCGCTACCAGCACCTCCACTTCTACCAGCACCTTCTCCGCTACCAGCACCTTCACCTCTACCAGCACCTTCACCGCTACCAGCACCCTCACCGCGGCCAGCACTATCACCATTAAGAGCACCATCGCTACTACCAGCACCATCACTATAGAAACCACCATCCTGATGGAATCATTTGTACCGAGAGTGGCCGCCATTGCTCTTAAAATTTTAGGATTTTTTTATTTTTAGTGCTAGTCTCTTAACCCAAGATGACGCGTCAAACTGTAGATTTTTGCAGATAGATGAACAAAAACTTTCGGCACTAAGGCATTATAACCTGCGTCTTCTGGCTTAGCACAAAAAATAAAAATTAATCCTAAAAAACCTTAGTTGATGTGGTAAAGCGGTCATATATAATAGAATTTGCCACAGTTGGTTCACCTGTGATTACCGTCCACAATTAAAAGTAAAAGTATTATTTAAAGGTATTAAATTTGAAACTACCCTTAATTCTGTTACTATTTAACCTGCTTAGCTCACCGACTAGAAGTTGGACCCTTCGATCGCTATTGCCCTTTTTTTTTCATACGGGAAAAATCCTATAAATAAAAATCTCTTGCCACCAAATCGAGGGATTGGCAGGGGTAAGTGGAGGTCCCGATTATAAACGGGTACCTACTAAAAACCCACGTTGCACCCGTCGCTGTCGCATCAGCGGAGATAAAGGAACACGTTATTCCAAGCTCTGCGACCCGGGTGACCCGGTTCAGCCAAATGGTGTTGTATTGGTGCAATTACCTGCAGCTGCTATCAAGGGCATACGGGTCTTTTACACTTGTATTCACTGATGGGAGTGCGGTTTTCCCAGGTCCGTGCACCGTGTCGCGCTACATCGCCGCCGCGGACAGCACGTACGCGGCGCTCTTCACCGGGGACGCGTGGGCACCGCTCTGCGAGCGCGCCGCCGACCACTCCATGCCAGACATCGCCGAGATGTCCTCGCGGATCGCCAGGTGACCTTGGCCGCCCCAGCCCAACTTGCCCTGACGCCCCCTGAATTGCCCCGGCGCCCCCTGAATTTTCCGACGCCCCTGAATTGCCCTGATGCCTCCTCTCGAAGGAGGAGCTTTTGAGAATATCTGAAAGGTCCTCCCCTTAAAACATGCCCTGACGCCCCCTCAGGAACGCACCCTCTTGAGAAAGGGGAATTTGAGGTTGTCAAGTCGAGAGGGCCTTCCTGGTGCCTACTGTCCCCTTTTTATGTTGGTCCTCTCTATCCTCTGATTCTGTCTGTTCTTGCATATATATGTTTGTGTTAGTGGAAGTATTATAACTTCGCGACTCGTATGATGAGTGAGGTAATCAAGGCTCACTATTTGAGAGGTTTACAATCCCTCTGCCAACCCTCAGTTGTAGGTGTCCATGGGCTGTAATGACATAAAATCAGGTGAACCCCCCCGCTTACTTGCCATCTTCTCACATCAAAATAATAAATCAATAACTAAGAATGATAAAAACATCGACTGCGTTACGAAAAATTTTTTTCCAATAATGTATTTTGGCGCCAAAAATCTGCCAGTTTGATTTTTTATCATTTTTCATGCGCCCAGCGCAATGTACGTAAATATTCATTAAAATCGTTTCAGCCTTTTATTAGTAATGAGGTAACATTAAGACGGCCATGATATCCATATTTCGTATTCTTCGTAGTAGGCTAAAAATGCTAAGTGCATTTTTAGCTGACTGCATTCGTTTTTACTGCAGATACTTGAACAGCATTGGTCCCGTGAACAACATACCGATCGGCGAAGCGATGGTCGCCTACAGGGACAAGTCTGGAGACGAGGACTCCAGCCAGACCTTCGTGCCCTTCATTGCTGTGAGTATCAACTTATGGCGTGCTCCATAACATCTTTTTTAATCACCGCCCTTTCTGTAGGATAAAATTATCCTGTGTTGTAAGGACGTTTTAAAAACATAAATACCGCGTGAATTATAGAAGTCGCTGTCGGAGGACTCAAAGCAAATTGTTTTTTTTTCTTTTTTTTTGAGTCCTTCGACAGCGACTTCTATAATTCACGCGGTATTTATGTTTTTAAAACGTCGACACCGACAGTCGACACCGCTGCTTACCGTATTGAAGAACTTTGGTTAACGATTCATTTTAGTAAGACAGTCATTATTGACCCAGCATCTATCGGAATCGGACTTAGGCTAGCTATAGTTTAGTTATAAGTTTAAATTGTAAGTACTAATAAATAAGTTAAAGCAAATTGTTTTTTTTTCTTTTTTTTTAACTTATTTATTAGTACTTACAATTTAAACTTATAACTAAACTATAGCTAGCCTAAGTCCGATTCCGATAGATGCTGGGTCAATAATGACTGTCTTACTAAAATGAATCGTTAACCAAAGTTCTTCAATACGGTAAGCAGCGGTGTCGACTGGCAACGTTTCCATGGACGTTAGCTATATTGTCCGTCGTGGACAATAGCGGTGTCGCCTGACAACGCTCCCACGAGCGTGAGCGTTACATGGTTTCAGCAAAACTTGATCGTGGGATCGTGTCGCGATGTTGCGAAGAAGATACTTAGTTGCATTTTTCCACGGGAACGGATATGTAACACGTGTAAAATACCTAGATCCGAAACAATTACTTATCTGTGGGTCGCACTCACACCAAGTTGTCTCGTGTGGGAATCGAACCCACGACCACCGGCGGCCGAAGCCTATACCTAGTCTAGTTGCCACGGAATATTAGGTGGGGGAAAAGATTCAACGCGAAAAGTGACTCCGAAGGGCGTATTTAATGCCTGTCCAGAGAAATCGTGGTAGGCGCAAGTGTTACATTAAACTATTTCCAATATACAATACACACAATTGATTATTATGTTCCGTGCGGTCCGGCGTGACGTGTCCCGGCAGGCGACATCCATATACCGTCGGGTCGACCCTCTCACGTGTAACCACGCCCTCAGGAGGTGCGCGTGGGCTGCGGCGAGGGCGGCCCCTCCTCGCTGGAGCTGGAGGAGGGCGGCTCGCCCCCCGCGCGCCCCTCGCCCCCCGGCACGCCCGCGCCCAGCGACGCCGCGCCCCCGCACGCCGCGCAGCCGCCGCCGCTGCCGCCGCAGGAGCTGCAGCTCGACTACTGGCTGGTGAGTGGCATACGGTATACCCACCAATGGCAGTCTCGACCGGGGAAGGGCCGCCGCCTCGCGGAACACCGGCGTGAAGTTCCAGTGTGAGGCACAATACTTGCGCCTTTCTTCCGGCGAGTGAGGTAACCGCGGCCCACTTATTAGCGACCGATCTGCCATAATCCGCCGTGGAAACAACGTTCTCTCGAAAGACCGGTGTGAAGTGGAGGTGTGAACTTTAATATACTTTGGCGTTTCGTCCGGCGAGCGAGATAACCGAGGCCCAATTTTTTTATGTTGGCAACGCATTTGCAAGCTGTTGCAGATGTCCAGGGGCGACGGTAGCCACTAAAAAAATAAAACGAAACGATGGCGGTTCGAGTCCGCTTTGCAGAAGTTATGCGAAGGCTAATAATTTGTTGCCCTCTTCGGTGGCGACTGTCATCTCTGCCGGTGTCGATTCTGATAGCACCTGGAGATGAGTAGACCGTATGCGATGATATATTCCGATTAGAATGGGATTCCTCATTTATTCATTCCGATTAGAAAAAGATGGAAAGAACCATGTAGCTACGATCAGAACAGGACAGCTGTTAAGATTACACAGTAGTAAAAATTAACCGCGTTGGCTTCACAGAGACTCATATATTATCTGTGGGCGCAGGTGCCAGGGCGAGCGGCCGAGGGGGCGGACGGCAAGGTGACTGTGAAGGCCACCTTCCGCGCCCTGCTGGTCACCCGTCAGAACGCCCACCTCAGCATCACGTACCTCACCAAGGAGAAGAAGCAGAAGAGTCAGTGGACCCGTCTCTTTCTCACACTCAAAGCCAATTCATGCTTTTTCAGAGCTCTTATGAGAACCAAAATCCACCACCACTTCACTAATTTAGTCGAGTCCAACGAAAAGTCGAGAAACTTCGCTTGCAAACTTTTTAAAATAACAAGAGATACCCCCGGTACTTGTCCTAATCATATTAAAATTAATAGTTATAGAGTTTCTTTTCGATTCTAAACGCACGAAGTCTAAATATGCAGAGTTACGCTCCGTAGTTTTTTTTTTTTTTGGAGCCCTTGGAAGACTTTCCGAGGTATGTATATGGACGGATGCGTTATGCGATGACGTTGCTCGCAGTAATGCGCCTGGGCAAGAAGAAGGAGAAGTCGGAGCCGGAGGTGGGCAGGGCCCAGACGGTGGAGGGCGTGGCGCGGCTCATCTGCTCCGCGAAGGGGTCGCACAACGCGCCGCTCAAAGGTAAAGCGCCCTCTCGCTCTAACGACACGAGACGGTAAGAGACGGGTGCCGGTTCACCGCTCGACTGTGTTCAACTGTTTTAGAAAGGGTAAAAGTCCATTTTAGTCAATGTATGTTTTTGTTTCTTTTTTTTTACTCTATCTTACATTTAGTCTTTTTAGACAATCGAATAAGTGCGTCTTCTAATGTTTTAAATAGAAATCTTTATGGATTTTTGTATGATGCATTATAACAATTTTGTAATCTTCATCATCGTGTAATAAGATGTCTTTTTTTGCTATATAAAAATATACAACTCCATTACAGCCGTTACCGTTAGTAAACTAACGCCCGGTTTCTGAAACACTGATCATCGTATATGTCAACTAATCAGCCGTCAAATGGCTTTTCAAATTTCATTTTAGTTGCCAAAAGGACGGTTAAACTCTCTGAATTGGCCAGAATGTGACCATGATCAATGTTTCAGAAACCGGCCGTAAGTCTTGGCAATTCATTATCATATAAATTGCAAATTGTTTCAATAATAAACATACCAAAAATTATATTTCCATAGCTATACAATAGCCTTTATTTACACGAAAACCTTCCATATATCTACTAATGGACCGTTCCCCCGACAGTGTACATCGACGGCACGGAGTGGAACGGCGTGAAGTTCTTCCAGCTGTCCACGCAATGGCAGACGCACGTGAGGACCTTCCCGGTAGCGACGTGCGGCGCGCCCCTCGCCCCGCCGGAGACCTAAACCCACCCCCCACCCCCGGACGGTATCATCCCCGCTTTGGCTCTCGTACTAGGCTAGACACTAGTGTCATGACACGGCCGCGAAGCCGGCTCGGATATCCGACCATCCGAACGCTTCCAATCGCCCCCGGTACGGATATCCGAACGTCGGTCCCACTCCGGTACGGATATCCGAACGCACTGGTTGGGTGGAGACGCTTCGAGTCGCAGATATCCGAACTGGTTCGGATACGGGCGGCGAATAGCTGCGAACGCTTCCAATCGATCAGGTACGGTTATCCGAACGCCAGTCAACCTCCGGTACGGATATCCGAACGCACTGGTTCGGTGGAGACGCATCGAGTCGCGCATATCCGAACGTCGATGTAACATATACGAACGCTCCACTTCGGATACGCGTCGACGATGACACGATTACGAGGTTTCGGATTCATGTCCTGCGGATATCCGTTATAGCAACACTAGGCTCCGAATGTTAGTCAATCGGTGTCTGAACTGTCGACTGTCGTGTGTGAACGGTTTCAATATTCTATCCACAGATAGACTTGGTTACTAGCGATGGGTATTCGACATTAGCTTCGTTCGTCGATATTCTATCTTCAGTAACCAAATCTATCCGTAGATAGTATATTGAAAACGGCCGTTAATAGTTTATACATTTAAAAATACGTTCCCATTCGACGTTTTCCGATCGTAGCTATATAAGGTGGTTTATGCGTCTCGTTTAGCGAACGCAAAACTTATATTCGGCGGCGTACGTTCGCAATTGTTCAGTCATTAATTCGCATGCTATTATATTGTAACTCGTTTAAGGTATTAGCGATACAGAAGCTGCATAACAATGGCTCAATAATCACGTTAACTATTTCATTGTAGTCGTATATAATTCGTATGTTAGCTGTTAGTTTCCCCGTCGGGAGCGAGGCGTAGTTATTGCGTGTACTCATTGTTTAACGTTAGTTGATGGTTCGTGACATTTCCAATACGTGTGTAAGTTAGTGTACGTATCGGTGGTTTGTACACCGGGTACAACGGGGTATCGTCGGCACATATCACTATAGGTTCGTAACGGCTATAGTGCGGTTTCTTTTGCGTTTATCTGTGATTACCGAATGCGGTTTTTTTTCCTTTTCTTAACGAAAAACGGCCAACGGCGATTTCTGGCTGTTACGTTACGTCGGTTTTAGACGAACTCGCGACGTCTTTATTTGTATATAGATTTGAAAAGCAATAGTTTAGTGTATGTGTTTGTGTGTAGTGTATTCGTCGCGCGTTATTTTGTGCTAACTGAAATGAACTTTATAATCTAACGCGTTAGGTAGCTAATCGCATGCAAGCAAGGCGAATGCAAGTTATGCGGTTTTTAATGGATTTCCAGAACTGTATCGGTCAACTCGCTTTCGCATACGAGTATTACGGAATGTTAATAGATATGTACGTTTTTGTGGTATTAGAAAGTAGGTGTTTGTCGATGTAATGACGTCATATAAAACAATAATTAACATAATATTGCTAAAAAACAACAGAGAAGACTCTCGTTGTGAGAAAAATTGAGCGCTCTGCCAATAACTATTTAAGACACTTCAATACTTTGGTAACAGTTATTAATCCTGCATAACCAAGCAGTGTCGGTAGTTGTTTTTCACTTTCATTAAAACTCATTAATTATCGGACGTTAAATTACTGTACTTTTGGTAACGTATATGTATGTATACCTGCTAAATGTTAACTTGGTGTTCTCTTATCAAATGTAAAGGGCTAAATGGTATGTGTGAGTAATGAAGCATCGAACTTCTAGCGATATTGCGAATATCTCGCCATTGCGTTTTTATCAATATTGAGTTTATAATTTCTGGTGAACACATAATTATAATGCCGGCAACAAATGACATCTGACGTTTAATGGTGGTAATCTTACCATCTTAGTGGTATAACCAAAACAAAATGAAGTTCGTCGAGGACAGAGCGATGGGCAGAAATATGGTTTAGGAGCGTGCAACAAAAGCTAAATAATAGTTTTTAATTCTTGTCTTGGAGTAAAATTTAATTGTGCTAAAAGTTAGCAAGGATCATTAAATAAAACACCTAGATATTGATAGGGGGGATAGAATTTGTTAGCCATTGTAATATTTTATTTTTGGTTAACATTATTTATCGCTTACTCTCGTTAGTTGTGGTTTCTACGCGAAAAGTTGGAAACACTATTAACACGCACACAGCTATGTGGCGAAGCGTTTGTTGGCGCGATACTTCAAGCAGCCCTTCATAATCTCCGAGCCATTTGGAACACTCCGTTTCGACCTTAAACCGCCTGGATCGTTTGGGGACGACGATTATTAAATGCGTGATTGCTTTAATATTTCTGAGGCGCCCCGTGAGGTCCTTTATTAGGTACCGTGAGGACCTTTATTAGGTCTCGTGAGGTCCTTTATTAGGTCCCGTGAGGTCCTTTATTAGGTCCCGTGAGGTCCTTTATTAGGTCCCGTGAGGTCCTTCATGAGGTACCGTGAGGTCCTTTATACGGTCCCGTGAGGTCCTTGATGAGGTTCCGTAAGGGGCCTTTAATTGTAGTTTATTATATCACGTGGCTGTGCAAGTTTGTAAGTAAACAAACTGACGGACACCAAGCGTTCGTGTCTAGTATCTTTCATGAACCGGAGTAATCAGGTACAGACCGCTTCCGTTATTGCATTGACTGTGCTGTATATACGTCGTGCCAAAATTTTACATAGGTTCACATGAGCCGTCTGGAGTTGCAGTTTTGCATGATTATTGGCCACAGCAAATTTGACTAAAGCCGAATTAGGACTCGCTCGAATGTCCGACAACACGTTCATGAAGCGTCAACAATGAAAGAGAAGCAATAATACTTAGTTTCGAATAAAATTAAGCGACGTTTTTTCTTTAACCGTCACGATATTGAAAGGAACACCGTTAGAGAAATGCCGATGTAATAACGAAATTTAATCTCGATACAAATTAACCAGCAGCGTGTAGATTAATACCAATTTTGGGAACAACCATTTTGGGTAATATGGCGCAAATATGTTAAGGTGCAGTTTTGGTGCTGTACATATATCACAGCGACTTTTTTACGATTCCTTTTCTATCACACTCAAAAAATTTAAACGAGATGTAGTGTGTAACGGTGCTTGGTGAGAATGATCGTCATGTGTGAATACTTCCTTAGTTTATATGACAGTTTTTGAAATATCGACTTAGTCATAATAGTTGTTCCCAACAATTGGTATTATAAAATTATTATATAACCGTATACAATATCAAGTTTATATCTTAAGTATCGACCTAATGGTCTATATTATAACTATCATTTGTATATGTATTCGATTTTTGTGTATTATTGAAGGGCGATAGGTATGTCGAAGTCGACGTAAGCTTACGTGAATTATATTAGACATTTATTGTTTTGGGACCTCTGTTTTTTATAGAGAAAAACTTCAAATGCTTAAGTGAAAATAAATATAATATATATTCCCAATATAATATTTTTTCCATTTTTGTGCAATCCATATGTTATAATTTTTTTAATTAAAAGAAGTAATTAATTCATTAAGGTATGTTGAAAACGAACTCTTTTAACCGATTGCTAATACACATAAGTTAGAACTTAAACTGTAATCGATGCATTTCCAGAATAATCTATAGTGTACCCTTAATTTAGTGAACTTAAAATAATGGTGGTCTAGTCTCGTTCAGTGTGCAAAACTTCATCGGAAAACTCGGTTCTTTTTGTGTTAAATGCTGGAAAATTGACAACAATTACCAAGCACAATTGACACTGTATTAAAAAATTAACAAAATTTATAAATATGTATTATATATCATTCGTTACATATATAGTGATTTTTATTTAGTTTTAAATTGTTTAGGTTTATCGGTATTGTTTAGTGTTGCCAATGGTGGGACAATAATAAAATAAAGCGATATAATATGGCACAAAATTTCACTATTTTACAAAATCATCAAAATGGATTTAAGCGTCACTTATAATATTCAATAATTTTAATATTTCTGAACTCATTAATAAAGCCTCAAACTCCATTACAATTTTACAATTTAACATGGAACTATTAAAATTTTCTCCCACTCGTCTATGTCGTGTGAAATTTTTCCTTAACAGAGAAAACTATTGAAGCATTAGTTTAGAATTCCATATTTAGTTCATTACATTTCTAAAATTGCGAGGCAAACAGTATTTGGAAAATATTGTAGATTTAGGTAATTGAGTATGTTCGCCAGTGCTGCTGACATAAGCTTATTTAGTGCCATTATTTGATATGTTGGCAATTAAAACAAAAAGAAGCTCAAGTTTCCAATAGTTATTGTCTAGAGGCCTAGCCGTGTAACAGTATGTTAAAACCATATAATTTGTATGTTCATATTGTAACAGTAACTTGTAATGGGATTGTGGAAAGTATATTTTATGCTTTATAATTTGATCTCATATATGCTGACTGACATGGCAATTATAATTTTGTTTTAAATAACTATTTGGTAGATTACATAACGGCAATATTAATAAATTCATAAAATTTTTAATATTGCAGTTAACGTTACAACAACAATGTATTTAAAATATTGGTTCAATGCAATAGACTTTTAAACAACTTTTAAACATATTTATTCATCACAATTTGTTGCAGTGTCAATTATTTCAATGGATTTTATTTAATGCAATTGAGAATTTATGTTTTAGAGTATTAGTACAAAAATAACCTTTGCTATCTATATTTTCTCATTATATCAAATATGGGTTTTATAAAACAGTGCAATAATTGAATTTTATGCCATGTCCAATTCTTATTATTTATGTTGTGCATCCCATGTGTAAAATGTTTACTTTACCAATATATAGAATTGAAATGATGAGATTTATTATTTTACGATAAGTTGCAAGTATGATTTTGTATTTATTGTACAAATAAAATTTTGCATAAAAACAAATGTCATTTTATTTATAATGAAATTATATTATATTTGTAAAATAACAATTAAGTTTTACAACAATCCAATAAATAATAAGATTTTTTTAATTCCCTATACCTATAATTGTATACGTGATATTTTTTTTGCTATTCAAAAGATATAAGAAACATTAACTTCAAACAAATTAAACATTAACTACAAAACATCAATATATTGTTTACCATGCCATTTTCACTTATGAACGTAAAAACGTTAAAAACTGATCTCTTAGCCCATTCTCTCCACCAATCCCACCTTCAGGAACCACATACAAGAGACCATCTTCGGCTTTCTTTGGTGAGAATTCCCACAGGTTCATATTACTTTTGTGCAGCTCTTCCAATGTCCATGCAGCAAGAAATCTAGATTTTCCATGTCTGCAGAGAACATAGACATTACTGGGTTTTGAAATGTAGGACTCGCCTGGGTCTTCAATAATGATAACTCCACAAACTAGTGCCCAGTGAGCTGTATGGCCATGCCTGAGGCAAGGGGAGTGATTGAAATCTGCATCATAACTGTGATACATTAAGGACCTTTTAATGAAAAATCATAATTGAATAATTCTATGAAAACGTAATTATTTATTTTCCACATCCAAACGGAAACAAAGTGTGAACAATTGCTATTTTAGCTCAGCTTGCTGCCTGAATAGGAAATGTGTACTTCAGAATTATATTAAGTGAGCAGTATATCAGAGTATGAGGATAAGTAAAGAGCAGAAGTAAAAAATCATAGATCATCTTTGATAAAAGTTCATACTATAAATTTATTAAATAATAATATACATCATTTATTATAATCAAACTTTGATTTTGTCTATCCAAAACTTTTTAAGTATAAATATCCAAACATTCTTAAGTCTTTAGTATAAGATAACAATTACAGATATTTATATGACTGATTTTGCTATTTATATTGCAACATCATTCACAAATAATATAACAAAGGATACGGAACCAGTAAAATAGCACCATTCAGTAAATCGTGTATTGTTTCGTGGCTAAAAAGCCCACCTTTTTTTAATGTATAGGAAACATTTTCAATTTCGGCTAAACTTATAGCTTTTTCAGCTAACTTAGCCATATCCTTACAACTCAACATCTCACCGTTGTTGCTGTAACCCTCCATTTTCGTTATATTAAGTAATTCGTCAGGTGTAACTTCACCCCCTAGAAACATTGACAATGCCACTAAACCACACGTAGGGCCTACTTGCAACATTGATTCAAAATTTGTATGTTTGTAGCGGAAAGGCGGCTGGTGAAAACAAATTCGATTTTTGGCGCATACTTCCCACAACTGCGGTTGAGATGAAGCCCATTCACAAACATCTGAATAATCAATTGTTTCGTTAGTAGAAATATTTACTTTCACATTTTTACACGGTGTTTGTGTAGATGGTGGTGGTGGAGGAGGAGGTATTGTACACATTTTGTATGAAAATTGGTAAAATAAATAATTTTAAAATTATAACATATTTTGTTATTTAAATGTTTAATTCAAAATTAAAATGTTACATCGCGAGGATATTATTATTTAACATTGACATGACATTTGATTTGATTATTGATTGAAATAATCCAGCTGATAGTAGAAATATATTTTTTTTACAAGAAGGATTGGCTTGGATACAAATCTATTAAGCCACATAATTGTACTGTTCAACTTATTGTTTAGTACCTGTAGTTAAAATATTCAAAAAACATATTTGTATCTCTTCGTAACAGTCCAAATTTTCTGTACTGTATTTTGTACAAATGTGAAAAGAGCTGCGTAATTTTTCGAATTTGATCAACTGCCTCTGATATAGCAGATGAATAGAAAAATCAAAATCAAACCGTCGGATCTCTTGCCATTGTGGTGAAAAAAGCCAAGGGACTCTAAAATAGAAGGTATATTTTGATATTGAGAAACAAATGCATTGAATTACATTTAATTATTCACAGGCTAAAGGTAGTTGAAAACGTTTAAATGAATATTTTACTTCTCGTGTAGTAAACCTGATTCAGATTTTTGGAATCTACGTAGTCTTTGATTATATACCTGACAAGTATGTTAAGTAGGTAGTATTAAGATGAAAATAGAAAATTTAAAAAAGATTTTTAAGTTTTTTAATATAAGAATCCGTTTAAATATTTTTTTAGAGGAAAATTTTAGGGCGTTGAATTTTAATAGGTATATGAATATTGAAATTCGCATAAAAACTCAAAATGTTATTTATTAATTCTTTCACATATTTTTGTTCATAGAGGGCGTTCACCATTCATCGTTAAGTTATTGTCGACGTCGTTTCATTTGATTGATTTTTTATGAACAACACTATTCGCACGATCATTTCATTCAATCACTAGTTCGTTCTCCATCAGGGTTGCCAACTTGGGGTTTTCCCTCAAGTTAGGCGATAATCAAACGCGTTGGGATTTTTAGGGGGACTTTTTTTTAAAGTTATTTTAGGGATTTTTTGACTTCTTATATTTTTCGTTTTGTTCCTTGTTATTTTTTAAAAAAAAATAAGGTAACGCAATTTACCCCTTCGTATTTATTTGTAATCAATGTAATCAAAAGTTTTAAATCTCACTTTTGTAATTGTGTTAAAAATCGGGCGTCAAAATTATATTATAAGCGACTTTTTATAAATAAAATTCCTTGTCAATTTGCTTAAACGTTTTTTATAATATCATTTTTGTTGCTTCACTGTATTATTCTATTTATGTGGAAGTTAAGGAAAAAATCACTGCGCTCTATATTATGCTATTTTCTTAATTATATTACTTTATTTGGGGGATAATGAAGAGTTTTTGCCTTAAGCTATAAGGATAAATATTTTCGGGAGTTGGTAACATTGCTCCTGACCTAATTCAGCAAGGCAATTACCAGAACCAGAATACCAGATGGTGCGCGAAGTATGCGAAGGAGTTTTTATGTAGGCGTCAACCGTAATTTTATGTATTAAGAAGAAAGTGAATTTCTTTTTTTATCAGTACACAACCGGTTCGAGTAAAGTAATTTATTATGTCGGAGCCAAGGAAGAATCATCTCGCAATCGATGGCGGTCAAGGACGGGACGATGAACATGTCGTTGCTTCTTACAAGCCGATTCCCGAATCTGATACAGGTAATTAAAATGCTCTTAGATATTTGTCTGTATTTTATATTGAACTGTTATTATGTTAAAAAAAAACCTTATTTTGTATATACAATGGAAGAGGCTTTGGAAGTTATTTTCTTAAAGTTTTATATCATCTCTTAGTTGTTCGTTTCGTTCGTACCCTTGAGATTACTTTATTGTTTGAGTAATTTAAAGGTGTTTTCCTTATCAGTGCCCGTATCTAGTATCATGACAGCAAATATATCTTATGTCAAATATTACGCGACCATTTATAGTTGTACAACTTATGCGAGAGTTAACCACGTCAAATATCTACTTCAATCTTATTTCTTTGCAAAAGTCTACAAGTTTATATCGCTTCATACTCTTTCTGTCCATAGCATGAAATGCATTTGAATAGGTTATGAACGACTTCTTAAATTAGGCGTATAATAAAGCGCTTTCAATGGACAGATGTAGCTTCAGACAGCGCCATTTTGTAGCTCGTTTGCTGACTGATGCAATCTGGAATTGTTTTGCGCTATTTTAGTTTTTATCTCGAAAACTTTTTGAATTCCGACAATTCTTAGTTTAGTATATAGTACTCGTGAATGTTTTTATGAAAATATGCCGACTTTAGTACCTATGCGTTCAGACGTTCTTTTTATGTTTTCTTATTTTTTTTTATGTTATTAAAAGTCATGCATTCTCGTAATAAGTTTTGAGGATTGGTAACTACAACAGTGTTGCTAAAAAAACTGAGCGAGTACAAACAACAAATTGAATCAATTCATCTGATTGGATAATGTGAGAATGTCACCAGATGCATCAGAATGGTGACTGAAGGTTTTATTTTCAGTGCATGAAATTGAATATATTGAGGCTGATACTGAATACATGCAGTTGAACCAAACGGATACAATGGATGGTGAAGTTGCTGACGATGCTGATGATCATTGGGATCACAACAGCATCAGAGTAATGCTTAATCTTTATGTGCAGAACATTGACAAGTTCAGAAATCCAAAGATAAGGAAAAAAAATTTGTGGATGGATATATCCCATGCAGTGGGTAAAGGTCCGGATTGTTGTAATAAAAAATTCAGAAATTTGAAGCAGACATATGTACGATTGCTTAAGAAAAAGAACAGTAGCGGTTTGGCCACAGTTAAGTGGCCATATTTTGATACTTTTGAAGAAATCTACAGTGTTGACGGTGAGTATCAGCCCGAGATACAACAAAAACTACAAGAAGGCTCCAGTGAAAGCATAGCAAAAGCATTATTATCAATAAGCGCCCCGACAAAGTTTGAAGAGACGGTTGAAAATGGAGAATCGTCTGGAGGACACAATGATGAAGTAAGAAGGAGGCTAGCTAGAAAGCGAAATGCAGAATTGAGAAAAGCAACATTAGAAATTAGAGATAGACAAAGATTGGTAGAGGAAAAACTAGATAGGTTGATTAACATTGTTGAAGAGTCAAACAGTATCCAAAAAGAACGAAATAAACTGTTTCAAGAGTTCTTGGAAAAATTGAATCAATCGCAAGAAGGTTGTTGATTGTTGCTAAACTTCCTACAACTTTACAAGGAAATTGTTAAAATTGAACTTGCTTGAGACAATCATTATTTCTGTCCTGTTTGTGAATGTGTGTGTTATTATGAATTGTTATATTAATAAGTCATGTAAATAGCTTTTTTAATAAAATTTATTTTTTATAAAAAGTTTCTTTTTCAAGTTGGAGTTGGAGTATGAAACTTAACTTTAATTTGCATAAGGGTATGAACAAAAAAAAATATTTTTTAAGTATGTACTTATAATTTTTGAGTTACATATAGCATAATATAGTTAGGCTTTTCTAAGTGTATCCATTTTTTTAATAAATTATAGACATATAATGTTATATAAAAAATGATAAATATTTAAAATCACTCGTAATTAATTAATTACATTCATTTGAAGTTATCTCAAAAAGTGTGTGATTTATGGGCAACTCATTTATTTTACGCGCGATCATTCATAACTAACACGCACACGTTCGTTTCAAAAGTATACGACCCATTTATGAATGACTACCGCATTGTCCACAACTTTTGTTTTTTAGGGAATAGAATGGCAATGTTTTTTGAAAAACATTATTTTCGCATTTCAAGCAATTGCAATGCTTTGCGCATGCATTGTTATGTCCTAGCACAAAAACAATTTCAAGTATCGTTTTATAACAAAAATTATGATGACGTCACCATTTCTATATGAAATTTAAATTATAATAGTGCTACATCTTAAATGCAGAGAGCTGTTAAGATGTAGCCACTTAATCAATAAAACTTTTAGAAAAAAGGGCGAAAAGTTTTGCCCCGCTTCGGGAATCGAACGGGAATTTTACCTTATTTAAATATTTGGTAAAAAAAAAAAACAAACGATAGGCTCCTATTTCTATTTCCTATTTAATTCAGATTGCACAAAAAGTTAACTGCAAAACTGATTCAGTAACAAAAAATAATAACAGTAAATTTTTCGATTTCATTTCGATCATTCTCTTTTAAATATTGAACATATTAATACGAGTTAAAAATTTGCCGACTACAAATGTGGCCGACCAGACGGCTTTCCCCACTACGTCCGTACATCACTATTAAAAAAAATACTTGTGCAAATATTCTGGAAATAAAAATATGTCCATGATAAGCACATCCGGTGGTTTGGTTAGGCACTAAACAAATCATTTATCTTAAGCAAGTACTGTTTGAGTTCTCTGGTGCGCTTTTGCTGTTGTGTAGTATTTAAAAAACATAGAAATACCGTTTTTCTACTACTACCGGCTATGATATCCAATTCATAATATTAGAATGCATTTGTGCATGTATAACTTAAATATACTTACATAATATCTAAACGTTTAATATGAGAAATCAAGTATGCCTCTAAAATGCAATTACTTTTCAATTGTCAGAGATTGGCTATGGATAGAGTGGAGGAGTATTGACGGTCACATGTTACAATATTCTTAGGTAATGCATTTTTTCTCTAATCGGTTTTATATAATATTCTATATTATATTTTGATAATTATGCATTATTTACATTATAATTTGATATGGTTAACTTTCAATTATTTACCTCTTAGCATAAGCTCAGTGATAGAGTTCGTAACGAAGACATCCGCAGTAGAACTAAGATAACCGAAATAGCTCAGAGGATTAGCAAGCTGAAGTGGCGATGGGCCGGCCATATAGCTCGTAGAACCGATAACCGTTGGGGAAGAAAGGTTCTCGAGTGGCAGCCTCGTACTGGCCATTGCAGTGTAGGACGACCCCCACTAGATGGAGTGACGACCTGTGCAAATGTGCGGGAAGTCGATGGATGCAGGTGGCTCAGGATCGTACTTCATGGCAGTCTATGGGGGAGGCCTATGTTCAGCAGTGGACTCTCACAGGCTGAAATGATGATGATGATGATAAGCTCAGTAAAACAGATAGCACTATCACGAGATCATATTTAAATAGTCTACATATTATTTTATTTTTATAATAAAACCATTTTGTTATTATCTGTCTGAGACAGATTTTACCGCGTTTTATCCAACTGTTTAAAGCGTGTTGTTTATTAACCTATTATCCAACTTCTGCAATTTAGATGTCGCTACGATAAGAGTGAAAAATAGTTACCATTTTTTTTTCCGAAATGTGTCTGGAATATTTCTACGTAAATTGAAACATGCGAAAGGTGTACGCAAACCGAAATTATTTTGTGAACTAAGCATTTGTCCAAAAAAATATTGTATATACATAACCTCGTTTGGTTGTTCTTGCTACAACTGATTAGTGAGTAGCGGATGGCGACTGCGACATTCAATTGGTTAGTAGACAGGGCTGTCAAAGACACAATTTTTACGATATTGAAAAATAAATCATTGCTCTTTTAATTTTTTTATGACTGTATTATGCTCTGTCGGCATAAAAATAGTTTAGAAACAATAACTGAGAGAATTTGGGAGGTCTTAAACTTTTCGTAATTGATTTTCGGTAGTCAGTTTGATGCGAATTGTCTTAGAGTACTTAATTGTATTAAATATAGAAAAAAAGATAAAGAACTTCGCCGTGTCAGTCTTTCCGTCTGATTGAAATTAGTGAATTGATGGGTTTCTTCGAGGAGTTTATAGGTTTTTACTGAGCTAATCTTGAGCCTTTACCATCAACCTCTGCATCACCACACCATCATATATCAAGATGGAGGTGAGGACATGATAGTTATAGGCTAGCATCTGATTCGCAATTGCCTAATAAATCTTATAGGTACGTAGTTTCGTCGCATTTAAACTAAATTTATTGTTATCAAACAGTTATTAAGTTACCTACCGTAATATGTTCCCGAATGCATGCATTGGATAATTTAGAAGTCGATAATTTAGGCGGGATAGGCGATTCGCATCTATGGCACGTGACAAAACCGTTCCGTGACACGTGACAAAAACGTTCAGGGATCCGATCGATTGTTTTACCATCTACTGCGACGTCACAGTAACATATTTCCAAAAAAAAAATGTAATATTAAATAGTTCGTAGTTTAGTCGCAACCTCGTTAAACACGTTTCCTTTGGATAAGATGTCACGCGGATCCAAAAAGCGGTCTCGCTCCGAGCCCTATAGAGCCCTTGCGTAACTTCGCGTGCGCTAGGCGCAGCCCTAGTCGTCGCACTAATTGGTGGCCGTTCGTGCGCCTCCGAGCCTTGGCGATGTTCCGTCTCGACCGCCGAGGACATGCGTTCAGCTAACTCGGGCCGGCTGGGCTCGCTGGTGGTGCACGCGCGCGGAAACCAGCGCAGGAAGGACCGCGCTAGCCAACACACGAAAGACCGCGCGACCCAACACAGGCAGGACCGCGCGAAGGGGAGACCGGCCAAGACCGGAGACAGCACTAGTGCCCTCGGTAAAATATTTACTTATCGTACACGCGTCTGTGCTTAGTTTGCGTAGAGAGTAGAAGGAAGAAGAGTAATTTGCCCCCAATGCAAGAGGTTTTTAACAT